TCTATAAGCCCCACTCCGTTCTATACATAGGCAGTAGGCACAGCGCTTGAATTTACGCCTGGTTGAGACAAGATACAGGTCTGACCACTCGATCAACGGTAACAATAACGGTATGAGACACAAAAATCGTGCACAATAAAGAAAAGACCGATTTGTAAGTATCGACAGAAACCGAATAGGTACTTAATTATGGTGTTACTCTCACAGAATCCATTTTACGACACATTGTACCTAAGTATTGAAATCGACAACGTAATGAATTACAATTTTATTTTAAATATATAATCATTTAATCTCACTCAGGACAGAAGTCAGCAAAGGGTGAATAAAGTGTTACCAATCAACCACAATTTATACAATACGGTAAGCATTAAGGAGTTGCTAATTGAGGTCAAGATTTTTTTTTCAACTCCTCAGTTCTGAACAAAAATTTAGAATGGCAATATAGAAGTATCTGTCCATGAACAAGCAAAATATGCGTGTGAATATCTTAGCGGAAATGTTTCTTACCAAAAATAGACTAACCAGGGTCTCGCAATACCTTCCGTGTGATTACACAACAAACAAACAGTTTAATCATTGTTGAAACACTCGTTCTACCACTAACGTATGGCTTGGCCGAATAAAGTCCAGGATATGAAGGACAATGACATTAGTATTTACAGGAAGAATTTTGCGTCATCAACTGTACAATGACGCGGCGCCAGTGAACACGCGCACGGCAAGATGGCCGCCGCGACGTCAGCTGATTGCGCGCACGCAGCGCAGCTGTGACACTCCGCCACACACTCATATCATCGTGAACATATCGCTCTCTCTTTCATCCGCGTCTATTTAACACAATAGACGCGCTCAGTCATTGTTCACAACACAATGCTCACAATAAACTTTGCTACTAGTTGCTTGAAAATCGCGTACATTACTTAAATAGCTGCGCAGTCCAATGAGTTTACAAACAGGTAAAATTCCTAACCGGACATTTGTTAAAAATCTTGTTCTCATAAAATAATTCGTTTTAGTCAAAATAAAATAATTAAATTCAACGGTAAACATAGAATAAAACGGGAATACGATTTGTCGCATCGTGGAAATTAGATATCGTAGAAAAAGTTGAGATTTTTGGCGCTGTCTACATACAAGCTAAGTATACCAAATTTATCATACAAAATTTATCATTACATAATCATATTTTGTTTAGAAACGGGTACAAAGAATGTTATTCACCTATGTAATGTACTTTTACTTTTACGCGGTAATAACATGGTATTATTAAGTGATAGTATGGTTTATTGAACTTCATTTATCACGGTCAAGAAACACTTTCGTAGCTTATCAAACTTCTGAAACCTTATGGCTTAACCTTCTTGAAATCACTATTGTAGTTTTAACAGCGGCAGTCTATTTTAAAGTTCGAATACATTTCAGAGAGTAGGAATATACAAAATAGAAACAAAAGATAAACAACAGTACACTGTACAGCTTTATCTGATAACCCATATTATCAACTGCCAAACCTATATAATAATGTATAAGAAGTAAAATTATAGGTAGAACTTTATTGTTGTCTCAAGTTTGCTTTAGTTTTGCGTGGTTTATTGTTTTAAAATATTGTTAACCTTTTGATTTAAGAATGAGCACAAGAACTGTGATCTCTCACATTTTTGACAGTAACAAAAACTTTGTGTATTGAAAATTAATTAGTCTATAACATGTCGAATGAAACAATTTAACACTCACAAAACCTATTGAGTATTTTACGTTTTAGCCTTAACTGTTCCTGAAATTAGAGGAAGGCGAGTCGCGACGTCATCACGTCATTGAGACATAAAAAAACTAAGTAAGTTATAAGCTTTCAAACAATTTATTCCTCTAGTACCTATACCTATCTTACATAAATATGAACATGATCAAGGAGAGGCCTACGTCCAGCAGTGGACTATTCAAGGGCCGTTGATGATGATGATGAATAGGTTATGAAAGGACAGAAAGTGCGTAAAAAACACTAATAACACTGTAGTAAACTTTTAGTTTTTAGTGTTAATAAGCAAAAACTAGTAGGTATAGTAGTAAAATTAAGAAAATCTTTTAGGAACTAAATGTTTTGTGAAAACGCAAATTATTGAAAAAAGAAAAGAAAAAAAACTCGACTGCATGAAAATGTATAGATACTTAAACTTTACAAACAAGGAGTTTAATTTATGTCATTTTGATATTCCCAGTGTCTCTCACAATTAGGACGTATCGACGTATCTATCTAAAATCGAATGCCAAAGATATGTACATACATACACTTTAAAATCACGACCATCCTTCTGGCGCAATCCGGTAAAACAGATTTAAAAAAAAATGTTCAAGCTGTTTAGTGTCGTAAGTTAAATCATAGAATTTGAATTTAATTAACATTTAATTATCTAAATTAACTTTCTAAAATGAAATAAAGTTCAGCCTTGACTAGAATGCAACATCTATACTAATATTATAAAGCTGAAGAGTTTGTTTGTTTGTTTGTTTGTTTGAACGCGCTAATCTCAGGAACTACTGGTCCGATTTGAAAAATTCTTTCAGTATTAGATAGCCCATTTATCGAGGAAGGCTATAGGCTATATATCATCACGCTAAGACTAATAGGACCGGAGCACCAATGAAGAATGTTTCAAAAACGAAGAAAATTTAATACTATTGAGAGACGCAGACGAAGTTGCGCGCGTCAGCTAGTACCTAATATAATAAGACATAAAGGACACTTGAAGGGTGCTTAAAATATATCATGGATAATTTGTGCTACAGATTGCATGAAAGTTTAGAACACGTGAGGACGTTAACCTTCTGACACCAAGGTCGGGGCGGCGGCCTTCAAACAGCCTCGTCTAGCTAACAGGCTCCATCGGCATTATCTCGAAACACAAACACACACAAAAACAACGCACACTTAAATATATTACCTTCAAGTGGGAACACAAGCCCATGGCCACGTAGAAACTGCGCTCAAAAGTAATTCTAAATCACAAAAACACTTTATCACTGACACATAAATTGTTAAAGAAATGTGGCGCACTAATTCGCACATTTATCTTGTAAGATAAGGTGCAATAGTAACACCCAATGTTTAAAACTGTGTTTGTTACATTTACCGAGAGTATCGGCCACGCGGCCACGAGCTCCGACGCGCTCGACGTGCGGACGAGAACTGAACGAAGAGCAGCAGCGGTTGCGGTGCCCGCCGCCTGCAACTATTCGCGTCATTCTATTCTACACGCACACGCATTCTCTAATACAAACAAACTACTATAGTAGAATTATTTTCTCCGTGCAGTTTGGGTCATAAATAGTCGGAGCGGTGAAGCGAGTATTTCGTTCTCTCTTTCACTCACGAGCCTTATGGGCGGGCATAGTGATGCGCATTATTGTTGTCGATAAGCGTTATCGATAGTGTATTTAGTTTTGTCATTTTGTGGGTTAGTGACAAAAATTAATGAAAAAAATAGATAAAACAACGTATTTATTAAAATAAGAATAATAATAATATAAAAATAAATTATTAGTATGTATTGTTATAAGTACAATAGTTTAGAATGTAAAAACTTATGTTAAAAATAAATATAAATACTTATACCTAAGTTTAAAATGAAAATATTATTTTTAATGAATTCTCCCATTTTGGTACAAAACAAAGGAGTAGCTCTCTGAATTTCTTTAGTGACACAAATGTCACTAAAGAAATTCAGAGAGCGAATGCACAAAAACACATTTCTCTTAAACATATGTACTATAATTTGCAGTGGGGAACAACAAATTACTCATAACAACAATGTCTCACCACCTTTGTATACCGCCCCGCCGCCGTGTACCTGCCTTTGATGACTCATTTGTTCTTATCGATAATGGCGTTGCGCCCGCGCAACATGCTCACCGCCCTAGCCAAGCTATGGTTTATGACCCAAACTGCACGGAGAAAATAATTCTACTATAGTCGCCCGTGGACGAACACATGTCCGTTGTCGTTGCGACGCGATCAACACATCAGTGAACAACAGAAAGACTATCAAAAGATGACAATCACTCTCTAGGAAATCATGTGAAGTTAAGCTCAAACGATTCATGAGTGAGTCATAAGTCGTGCTATAAAATTATGGTGAGTCAATATTTTACTGCAATACATAAACCTCGAATTTTGTTTCTCGCGACATCATTCTCATTTGTTTATTTTCTATTAAATACCGAGCAAAAATGTCATGTTGATTAAATTGGTGTTATTTAATGTGCATCAATAATATATAACTTGCATTTAGAATAAGACATACATGTCATTTAGGTAAATGGATTGGAAACGTCAACTCTTTTATCTCTGTTTACTAGAGCTAAGCTGTTTGTAGCAAGATTTGCGACGACAGCTATAGGTACACATGTAAACAAGAACCAGTTCCCAACGCGTCTACATAATGAGCCTTACTGTTACCAACACTTTTTTATAGTATAGCGGGCAAACAAGCAGACGGGTCACCTGATGGTAAGTGACTGCCGCCATCCGCAGACACATGCAACTCAAGAAACACTAGTACGTTGCAGTCCTAATCAATTTGAAGGTTCTAGAAGTTCCGCATGTACTAATATTTATTATTGGTTGTTTATGTCACAAATTCGTCCATTTGTGTCGGACATAAACTTCTATCATCACAAGGAAAAAATGTTTAGCTTTTCGACTTCATCAAACAAATCTAAAGTCCAATGCACTCAGAGATAAAAGTGAAATTACCAATGAAGATCAATATTTTGAATGTCAACGGCCGTTCAACCCAGGGATGTTAATGAACACAGGTAAGATACGGACATTCACATATGTACATATTATAAACAATATTGCAAATTGATTAAATAAGTTATTTGTTTTACTATGTTTTACACCTCGCCGACGTCAACAACAAGTATTATCATAATGGAAAAAAGGTCAGGCCAATCGCGCGTACGCAAACAAAGCCATGCGTGCATGACTGGCTAATGCAATGGCAGCAGAGCCCAAGGCGACGGACTCAGACAAAGCTGCGACGAGCGAGTCGTCGATCTCCCCCAAATTAGTCCTGGGCCGGGGCGGTGACCTCCGTGAGCTACGCGCCGCCGCCACAGCGCCGACGCGCTCCACCAACTCAAAATTATCACAACACGGGCCACACACAACATCGTGTCCACGTGGGATATATCATCTATGGCCCCGAAACAGACCAATTCATCATGTACTTTAATAATTATGTCGTATTTATGTTGTATTTAATCTTTAATCATTGAAAACAAAGCATAATACATTTATAAGTTCAAGTCTTTATCGAAATGATTTCCCCAATTACAACAAAGAGACAAAGACTGCGAAATAAATTTCGATTAAGGTCAATGAAATAAGAACACGTGGTGTTTATAGCGATTTCTTATTGCGACGACGCAAAACACATCTCGAGTTTTGTGAAACATTTCTGCGTTGGATTATTTGGCACTGACAAAAGTGCGCTAACAAATATAACTATGGTACATTTATTTATACAAGGTAATATGCCGACTTTTATACACTCGTTATTAAATGCCGATATTTCTTTAAGATGTTGTTTTAATTCCCCTTACAACGTGTGTACAGACTGTACAGCTCCGAGACAAGCATAGGATTAGTTCTTAATTTAATTCATGATTACCTAAACGCCTTATTCAATTACAATATCTTCTATTTGTGTTTGAATAACATCTCTATAAAAAATGATAATTTCCTAATCAAAGAGTGGTCTTTGAAATTTATTGATTAATAGAATGTTGTTATTAACATTATAAATACTAGTACCGTCCCCATGCTTTTTTGAAAACAATATTGACGCGTAAAGGGGAGATCGTACCTGATATTGGAAGAGTGAGTTTCGTACCAAACAAATGTCTTTCCAAGTGCGTAGGCCCTTCAGCTCACAACCAGGCGACACCACGTCTGTGCGGTTGAGGTCAGCATCCACCGGCATCACAATGAATGGTTACACCCCCTGCACAAGTAACATACTCTATCTATTAAACTTTGATTTCTCAATAATAACAACTTATGTATCTATGACATATTACATTTCCAAGATGTTGAGTAAATATTGTTGGTGAATTGAAAACTTAACATAGAATTTTATATCCAATGTCAAATTAATTGACCTCATTAGGGGGAATAAGTAAATTAACTTTTAACGGTTTCGCCTATTATAAAATCATAAATAGGTAATTAATAAATGCTATCACCATTAATGCATGTTACAGGGCAGAAGAGCTAGATAAGATGATGTTTAATGCTTTAAACAAACAATAAGACATTTTTCACAAAAAACTATCATTTTTGAGCCATGGCAGATACTACTGACTAAAATACAGGAAAAACTTATTAACTTATTCTTAATTATATATAATTACTTATTTCATTAATTTACTTCAGGAAGGTACTGTTGTTTATTGCAAAAGTTAACATTACAACATAGGAAGTTTATTATAGGAATGTGTAGTGTTGGATGGTTTGTCTCTTTCTCTCTCATTTGCACATTCCATTTAGGGACAGAAAGAAACAAAACATTAAAGGGCTAAAGTACCTACTCTTTTCTTTATTAATAAGATGTATAGGTCTCCATCAATTTTTGATGTGAATTGTAACTCATAGAAGGAATTTCTAACCAATTATTATTTTGATAACATAATAACATATCATCGTACTTTATAGATTTATATTTTACCAGCTTTTTGGCCTAGTGGTTGGTGATCCAGACTGAGGACAGAGTTACAGGGGACAAGTTATTAATAGCAACATTAACAAAACAATCCATATCTAAATATATTTATCCAATTAGTCTCTATCATAAAGAACATAATGGTTTAACATTAAACCTAATTTCCATTACACATTAACTCATTAAATATTTTGATATTGAAAACTGCTATGAACATAAGTGAACTGCAGTCGCATATAATTAAATTCATGTTTCTCTGGTAGTGTGAAGTGACTACTTCGCAACACACTTGATCAAGAACTGCCACAACTTTTTTTCTTCTAAAAAACATGAAACAGACACAAAGAACACCCAGACTCAGAACAACAATTTGTAGATCACACAAAGTGTCATCCTAAGTGGGGATCGAACCCACAACACTCAGCGTAGTAGTAAGCAGCATATCAACCGCTTAAACCACTATGCCATCTGTGCAGTCAAAATTACGAAAATACAAACATGTCATGGCAATTTAATACACTGATAACATTACCTATCTTGCATGATTGCTATACTTATGTGGAATTCCAGTTTATTGTGTGTACCACAGTTTGTCATTCTAACATGGTTTCACCTTTTTATCAATTGATAAATGAAGAAATACAAATCATTACAATTCAAAGTGAAACAATAATGATAAATGTAAAACATTAAGTTTCATTGTCATTATTTTAAAATAACTATTTAATGATAATTATATAGACCAGTCGCTATAATAACACAATTATATTTAATTAGAAACTGACAAATTAGTATTTGCAAAGATTGATAAACATACTGTAAACTAGTTTTTGATAAAAAAAAATGTGTAATATGGTTATAGTAAGCAAATTATTGTTTTTAACATAAAGCAATTGTACAACTCTTATTACAGACACTTGGACTGATATAAAATTTTATTAAGTTATTTTTGGTACAAGTTTAGTAACTCCATATAAATTCTATAAGCTCCTAATTTAAATTTTAATTCTGATTTCAAAACAGATCTAAGTGATCTGTATCTATATTCCATATAAAAAAAGAACATTAACTTCTTAGAAAAAGTAGTAGGTACTTTAATATATAAAAAACAAACCACTATTAAACTGAAATATTTTCAGTTTAAGCAGTATAGAGAACCATAACAGCTTGTACTTAAAATGTAACATGTAAAATTCACAACAGTAAAACTAACATAAATGAAATCATGAGCACAGTAGAAGAGATAACAAATAAATGAAAATTGAATTTGCAGTAAAACCATGAGAGCATGACCAATTAATATTAGCAGTGATTAAAAGTAAATCAAATACAATGAAAAATGTTCTCATTGTAGTCTGTACACAATATCACAACTAAATAAGTAGCCTGGGTTTATCGGACAGGCTCAAGAGAAGATGTAAGTAGAATTTATAATTAAATAATGGGAGATAAACTCAACACATTGTGTTCTGACTAAAACAACAATTTCTTTTGCCTATCAACAATAAATTAACCAGTTTTTAATTTTTCAAATGTTAACAATAAAGTTAGGCGAAACAAAGAGTCAGGGAAAGGAAGGTCTGGGCTACCCAGTTACAGGAAGTAACTTGTGCGCCACATATTTAAAAAGTAGGTGGGTATATAAAACATAATTTCACTATTAATAATAATAATAAGTCAGTGGTCTAAGCACAAATATATACATAACAAACGGTAATGAAATCCTTAAACACGAACAAAACTAAAATGCCTCCCAAGGTGGTGTCATGCAAAAAATGCGTACCTATGTGAACAAGTCCATTCTTGGTTTCAGAATATTCCAAGCACTTCAATGATGTGCAAATCATGGACCTAAGGGTCGTAATCATTAATGTTATTGGTTATTGTCTCGTAACGGAGCAGAAACAAAGAAAATATTGAAGAATTTAGTAATTGGCATTCACGAAGAAAATGGCGTCATATCACTAGTCACGGAACAAGGTACAATTTCGTCATAAATATACACAGATCACAATCACAAATAAACACCACAATAAAACAAATGCATGCTGTACAAATGATTTTGTTCATAAAATTACTCACTTTGCATAAAAATTCCAAAGAAAATCATCCAAAAACTCAAAGGACTGATGACAAGGCACTCCACTCACCGTTTGCAAAACCAGACTGGTATCACGTGACCGCCAGTGTTACCAAAATAAAACATTAACTTTGGTTAGTAGATTAATAACATTGGTAGAACACAAACTAATAGAAGTGTTTAAAATATATATAAATTTTAACAAATAAAATTTTTAAAAAGTGTGAAATTCAATGTTTATATTAAAATCTTGAACTGCCACTGTATGAGCTGATGTATCACATGAAAATCTTCACCACCAACCTATGTAGGTCCACAAATGATTGCTCTCACTTAGCCAGACAATATATGGCGACGCATTGAGAGAGCATTGGTGAGTTTGGGGTGTCAAACATAAGAATCAACCACTCTATCAAAGTGCAAAACTAAGAGGAAGACTATGTCTATAATGTCTCGTTACGATGATATCTCGGTCCTAGAGTAGTTACAAAAGTTATAGTACGAATATTGCACGGTTTGGTTTCCACGGTTTGGTGGTTGGATATCTAATCAGTCAACTGTGTTAAAAAAGTCCATCCTTCCATCCGTTCATCCTTCAATTCTCACGAACTTTTACGTTCATTTATATTAGCAAAATGGTTCATTTCCATTATATTGTTTTAATGTGAATTTCAAAACATCTTAAGCTTGTATGTAGCAGGAAAATTGACTTGAGGAAGGCTTCATCTGATTACCCCTCTCCATCCCTTAAGACACATTTACATCAAGTTTAAATATTTCTGTTAAGTAGGTAAAGTAAAAATTATCTGAACCTCCAATAGCATAATAATATTAAAAAAAAAAACTAAGAAACATTCATGCTTAACCAAATCAATAAGCAATAAACGTTTTAGCTCAGCAACAAAAAAGGTACACACAATAATGTATTGGGTACTGTAAGTAGCTCATTTTAGAATGCACTAAATTTATCTTTGACTCTGACCTTTCGCTTATCTCAAATTGTCCGGGTGGTGACGGATTAATAATACTGAGTGTCACCACCCCTATTCATCCCGTGGGTGTCGTCAGAGACGACTAAGGGAGCAAACTACGCAGGACAACAGCACTGCAAAGAGAAGGAAAACTTGTAACAAACCCTACACCTACCCGTCTAGCCAGCGTGGTACTGGCCATAACCTCCTTTCTAAGGAGAGGCCTATATCCAGCAGTGGACTGTTAAAGCCTGTTGATGATGATTATCTCTAATACAACTATGCGTTCTAGCTATCAAAGGTTAAGATTATTCCCTGTAGGTATAGCACAAAAGTAATAACTACATGTATATTCCGTGCAAACAGTCTACGCACACTAACACAAGTTCGCGGCCAGGAGGAGGCCCCGCACGGTTCTTTGTTTGAATAATCACATTGCAGGTGTTGACCGTATGCGGTATTTATTACTTTATTTATTTATAAATTAATTAATTTTACACATTGTGATGTAATGTTTGATCATTTTAACCAAAAAAATGGCAAATAAAAAAAAAAATGATGACTTTCAACTTAGAATCGTGGTCTGACTACACTTTCAGAATTCGTTACGACGTCCCTTACACCCTGTGTATGTATTGTAATTCTAGGATAACACTGTAGATAAAATAACTAACTATTTATATAATAAATGAATATTTCACTGCTGCCTAATCACGGGGGACCACGGGGAAGAAGTTCGTTGCCTCTATAATATGGACGTACAAGTTGGTTCTGTCGGTCGGAAATGTAAAGGGGCCGCACTGTAGCATAATCCCGAAATGCTACGAGAGAACGCGTATACGCAGGCTCTGCGGTCGTGACAGGCGTGGCTCGAAATTCAAGGCTATGCTAGCTAACACGTCGTTGGAGCCGATCTACCGAGCTTCGAAGCGTGGATAGGAAGGAACGACTCTGTTTACGACCGATTGATGGATATACTCACCTTAGTTACGCCTTACTATCTGGAGCAGTGAGAATCGCAACTGCCCCTCTAGGGTAGCTTAGGATCTAGCTTATCTAACGAGCCCGTTTGGTCTACTGATTAGTGACCCTAACTGCTAAGCCGGAGGTCGTGGGTTTGATTTCCACCCAGAACAAATAATTGTGTGATGAGCACGATCATTTGTTTTGTGTCTGGTTGTAGTTTTTCCATAATATATGAATGTATGTATTTAGGAATATATAAGTATGTTTATCAGCAGTCTAGTGACCATAGTACAGGCTCTTCCCAGTTTGGGATCAGACGAGTGTGGATGTGTGAAGTTATTACTATAAACGTTTACACTCAAAAGGTTCACAATACTTGGAGCATGTAGCCGTTTGCCAAGCCTCCGAAAGCGTGTCAACGTAGCCATAGAAAGTCTATGAACGTAGCATTACAGTTAGTCAAAAACAAAAACAGTATTGCTACATTCCATCAACAAAACTTACTACTACACTCCGGCTGATTTATAAGTGATTTGGCTGTCAAGTCTGTCAAAGACAAGAAAATCAAAACTGCGTTATTATAGAATTGTAGCATCACAGATTTTTTTCCTTTGTGATTTTGACTTGTTCTTCTTAATGTATCACGGGTGTTGGAGAAGGACAGAACGAACTGTTAACGTTTCATGTAATATTCCTTGCTGATTGGGACATGTACTTCTCAGTATTTTAATATCAAAAGTAAAAACGTGTAAAGTAAGAGAATAAAAAATTGTTTCAGAAAATGCCCACAATATCAGTAAAACGTGATGCTCTTTTTACAGCACTTGGCAAAAGTTACAGTAAGTTTTCCCGGTTAAAAGTATCAAATATTGAATTGTAACAAACCAATTAAAAAGGATTTTTTGTTTCAGCTGACGATGAGTTTCAGGATTTGTGTTTTGCATTTGGACTGGAGCTAGATGAAGTGGCAAGTGTTTTATCCTTATTGAATATAAGATTTAACAGAATATGTCACACTCAGACTTATCCTCGGGCTTCCTATTGTGTTGCCGCAAAGTTACCAAAGGCTGGATTCTAATTATCGTAATGTGGATTGGAAGAGCTGGTTGGGTGGCTCGTGCGGATACGCATTGTCAGTATCCGTAAGAAATCAAAATATGAACATATTCCTGGTTTGTATAGGTCATCATCTCCAACAGTATCAGAAGCGCAAATCAAAGTCCACTTAGCAATAGTTAGTCACGAATAGAAAATAAAACAGTCCAAAAATACAAGCCAAGTTTAAACTAGGTACTACCGGGTTGTATGCTTATTCTCAACACTCTTGGTCTTTTATCTAAGTTTTTTCTATGTATTCTGATACAATCCTAGACTATTATACATTGTTAGATAGCTGAGAATACATATTTTTTTAAAGAAATTAGCAGTGCCAGCCATCCACTTCGGTCCAGTTTGTTTAGTTAACTATAATTTAGTAATTGAAATTATAAAACAATTTATCAACAAATAAAGGATATAAGTTCTGAAAAAATTGCATAAGGCCAAATTGAGGACATTTTTATAAAAAATCTTAATACTCTAATATCTTGAAAATGGTTGGGATTGGGATATGGTATTTCATAGTGAAATATATCTAAAATGATGGCAACTACAACCTCTTAAAGTATCTAGGTCAACTTACCCAGTAAACCTGTATATATATTTTGGATAAAAGAGAACTTTGGCCGAATTAGGCAGGCACATCAAATCTTGGAATTATTTAGGGCTGAGAGTACCATGCAAGACATCGGTGTGTAAATTAAGCAAAGGAGGCAAAATCTCGGATTAAAGTGGACTCTATCATGACTAATGAACTTGTTTGTTTTAATGAACTTGTCTTGGTAGTTTAGAAATTAAACAAATGCATCCTGTTAAAAGTACTATATTCTCATTACTTGATCATTTTACTAAGATTAATTAACTATTGTCAAATAATTATATAACTACTTATAACTATGTTATTTGCAGTTTTACCTGGGTTTGCCTATGCATGCCTAGTTGTAAAATAAATTGTAGCTAAATTATTTATTTAACTTTATGCACTTTTGTCAATCAGCCGACTTAATGCCCAGTGCATTCCCTTCTAGTTAACCTTTGGGTAGTCTAGAAATCTTGTAAGGTAGGTGCACAGAGGTTACATCTTAATATATTAAGTAATATGCTTTTCGTTCTAGTTTAAGCAATATAATGTGTATAATTAAAAACCAAGCTAATGTTTATAATTTAACCTAATAACGAAAAGAACATTTATTAGAGGTTATAGATATTTAATCATACTATTAACTGTGACATATTTTTGTAAATTATTATTTAACATCTATAAATACTATATACACAGATTAAACAATATTTGCTATGTAATGTTTCAGACTACAGAGAAACAGATGTTGATGAAGGAGCAGGGAGACCAGGCAGGGGCTGGAGTGTCAGAAGAAATCTTGTATAGAATAGATATTCCTGCCAACAGATACGATCTGCTTTGTCTAGAAGGACTAGTAGATGGTCTCTTAGTATTCCAGGGGAAGTAAGTTGACCTAAAAAATCATCAATTATAATATAAAGTATGGTTGGTCCAGCTTTCATCCTTCAAAGCTGGACCAACCGTTTCTGAAATATAGACAAATTCTCATGAAATGGAAGATTTGATTTGTTCCGATGCTTTATGAGAATACATAAACGATTTTATTTCATGCATAGGTTTTATTATCTAGTAAAGTGTCTGATAAATGATCAGGTATCACAAGTTTATATTAAAATTTGTTTTCCTTTTAGATTAGTAACCTCAAAATCAGAAAACTGTAAACTAATACTGTTACCACTAATATGTGTCAGCCTGTTATATTGTTTTTTAGGGTAAAAATACACAGCTGTAAACATTTTACTGATTCTACTGGTTTTGGATACTCTAAACTCCAATTTATGTTTCTATAAAACGACGGAAATGAACACGATAGAAAAAGTCGTTTACTTTATATGTTTAAAAATATTTTATAGCAATATTTTTAAATAAATAATTAATTTATGTAACTCTATCAATTAAGGGAGTTCCCACTCGTGCAGAATTAGTATCCACCATTTTCATGAACCAATCTATCCACCTTATATTTTATTACAACATACTTTAGTGCTTCTAATGAAATATTTTATATCTTGTAGATTTTATAAATGACGTCACCACAATTGTTAATCTTACACAACAAAAGTCATGTACCCACACGCGATCATATTACATACCTTTAAATTGAATTGCGTTTCGATCAAGTTGCACTGGCCATGGTCACATACTGACTGGCTTGGTACTGCATACCAGCTGTCGTCGAATCCTATGAGGATTTTTGATAAAATTGCTTCTCGCTATGTACCGTCATATACCTACCATACAAACAATGTTTATTCTTCCGACACTGCCTTATTCTGATGTATATCCGACTGCTCAGAAAAGCGTAGTGGCATGTTTTTTATCACTGGAGTCCAGGCTGTAGAGGTAAACCTCATCTTGAGGTAAGAGTGGGTATGGAGTTAAAATGGTTTACAAATTGATCGACTTCCTGTTTGTTTTCCTTAACGATACTGATGGTGTCTTCGCCGAATCGCTTTCGCCTAACGGTCATCAGGTTAAGATTAGCATTCTCTTTAAAAAAATCCATCGAGAGGTTGGCAAGTGCAGTGTCTACGGAACATTATTTGACATAGACGGGGGGCTAAAGGTGAGTGAGTATGCAAAATGGGAGGACCGTATGCCACCAATGGATTTGTGTTAAGAAAAGGTCAAAGATTAATAATGTTGATCTTGCCGGTCACTTATTTGGTCCTTTTCTTTTTTTTACCCCTTTTACTCTTCTCCTCCGAAGGTTTTTGGTGCTCTGAATCCGAATCCAAATTATCGAATTGGCTCTGGTTTTCAGAAATATCCCAACCTAAAAGGGCAGAAATACTTGTTTTTGGCCGTTCTTGATGTTATGTACCATCGTAAGATAATTTCTCTCCCAAGCACTGTTTAAAACATCTCAAAAAGTATAGGCCTTAAACTGTTAAATCGCGTTGAGTTTGCTCAGATATCTTTTTTTTTCGCAGATATATCACATTTTGAAGTTTCTTAGTTTTAAAAATTCTTTTATACCATATGCTTATATAGTATAAGAGAGAATACAAATTCACAAATCCCAAACGAATAAAACCTAAACCTATCAACCTCAAACATGACAACCCAAACCTAGTAAAATCTGGTAAATTGTCGAGATTCAGTTTGGCCACGCATTGTTATAATTGTTTTAACCAGGAAAGCACCGCCGCAATACACTTTGAAGAAATATGAAGACTGCCACTCGTTGCATTTAACTCCTGCCACAGCACTCATCCGACCCTATGCTGTAGCTGCTGTACTCAGAGGTGTCACGTTTACCAAGGAATCATATGATAGCTTCATTGACTTACAGGTACAGCCAGTACTTTTTTCTGAAGTTTGAAGATGATCATCCAAGTACCGAATTGTTAATGAGCTTTTACATTTTTATTGAGATCTATCTATGCAGTTGTGATAGTCGTCTCCTTTTAAATACTAAGACGTTAACTGTACCATTTGACGTTGTAATAGTATACCTATGCGACCTACATATTTAATGCATGTTGATAAGATAGGCATTACTTTAATGTGCTATCAAAGTTTCAATCGCCTCATGCAGTAGATCTGGCTCGACCAGTAAAAATGTTAAAATATCGGCTTCCATTGGGCCTAGGACGAACTTTTTTTTTGAGTCATCAAAAAATCGGCGTAATCAAATGCATTTCACTCCACACCTTTGTGTTGTAAAAGTTTTTTCTTAATAACAATAAAATTAATTGTAAAAAAAATTGAAATTTGACTTAGGTACTTAATATTAACGTTAAGTACCTAAGTCAAATTTCAATTTTTTTACAATTAATTTTATTGTTATTAACAAAAACACTTTTCATGTTTCGCAATTTCCCCAATTCCAATCGGTTTCATCGAGATCCATTTTCGGGGGCAGGATTTACAGCGTTCTAAACTTTTAAAATTATCAATATCGCAATAGGTCGCCAAATTGCTTTTGAAAAAACGACTGGACCGGGTGCATTTTGTTAACAATACTAATGACTATCCAATACCCAAATATCAACGATGAAAAACGATGATTTCAGGATGTAGGTTTTTTTCAACTCTTTAAAATACTTAATAACTACATATAATCATCAGCTAAAAAAATTTTGGACAAAACTTTTTTCTTTTATTATATTTTTTACGAAATAACTGAAAAAAAAAACAGTTTTTAAAGATATTTTGCAATAAAAAGTATCTTTCCGACCTCGTTCATTCTACCTTTTTTAATGGTTTGATTGGTTTTGTTTTAATAATAGGTCTTTACCTATAAAATTGCCGTTTTGTATGCAATAAGTGAAAGTACTTATATGCCCTTCTTGTAAAAATCAGCTGGACGGGAGGCAACAAACTCTTCAAAGGCATTTTGTACTGCCTTTTGGGAATTGAATTTTTTAAGCACTAGAATGTCTTAATTTTGGAAAAAGTAATAGTCGGTAGGTGGGCATCAATAAACTGCCAATGCGTTGGCAAAGATGCGTCGATTGCATGGGTGATTACTTCGAATAACAGAAATAAAAAAGTTTGAAAAAATAAGTACATAGTAAATAGTAAAATTAATTACAGGATAAATTACACCAGAACATATGCCGAAAACGTACATTGGTGGCTATTGGCACGCATGATTTGGACACCATACAGGGACCATTTGTATATGATGCATTACCACCTACTCAGATTAAGTTCAAAGCTCTTAACCAACAGAAGGAAACCACCGCTTCTGAACTTATGGAACTTTACTCCGTAAGTATACTTTTGTTCCCGTATTGGTTACTATATAGTTATAAAAAAAAATCGTCTACAAGGAAATAAATTTAGGAAAAGTGTGTTCCTTTCCTTGATTGGAAGATATCCCCGATTCTATTTCTGATACTGTTTTTGTAATTTGAACTGCTTCTAATGATCATATCATCTGTTGTATACCTAGGACTCAAAGCGCAATATTTTGTTGGTAAAATACTGACTATCTGGCTTTCTATATTAGAAGATTTAAGATAAAAGATTGTATATGGAACACAGTTTAAAAAAATATGTTGATTTACAGACACATGCCCAGCTGAAACAGTACCTTGGCATCATCAAAGACAGCCCGGTGTACCCCATCATCAAAGATAAGAATGGAGTAGTGTTGTCCATGCCACCCATCATCAACGGAGATCATTCCAAAATCACGCTTAACACCAAAAATGTATTTATTGAGTGTACAGCAACAGATTTGACAAAGGTATACAGTAAGTTCAGACACAAAAGATTTATTGAAATATTCTAGTACTTAGGAATCTTTATAGTTTCGCCACGTCCGTCTGTTCGCGGCTTAGCTTAGAGACGAGATAGTTAGAGAAAGTAAGTACTAGACACCTATTATTTTTCATGGGCTTATATTATATTAATCACGCCATTTTTCATCACGCAATTTTTTTTAGGGTATCTGCCCTGCACATAAGGTGGCTATTTTATTTATTTCTCGGATATCCCATGGTGTGCAGTATTATTGGATCGAGTATCAAAAATATTCAGGGGTCATAAAGAATATACTCATAATATATATAAAAGGTCTTAAAAATTAAAAAAAATACAGAACCTTTGTGGACACTGTTGGGCACATCAAAAGAGAGAGAGAAGACGATTCAGTGATATGTTTGCAAAATATTAAACTTTAAAGTGCTAACTTTTCTATTTTCTTAATTCTTTCTGTACACACGACTCTCTTGTTGTGCAATCCTATCTTCACTCTTAGGTTTGCTTTAAGAGAACTCAATTATGGGTTAAGCTAGCCTTTGTGCTCACTTAATGTATTTTTGTTCTGAAATGTTTATATTGTGTACGTAAGAATAAATAAATAACTTTTGTGAGAGTAGAGCGCCCCGCCCCCTCTAAAAGCTAAACTGGCTTGAAAAATCTGAAAAAACTGTGGTTTAAATAACGAACTTCGAAAGTAAACTATAAACGTTAAGTTTATTATTTTAGGAGTCACCAAAAATGAAACTGAAAATGAAAGCTTGTAGGATGTGGCTCGCTTGCCATCCTACAAGCAAATAAATTAGGTATGTTTCATATTTGTTGTCAATAGACGCCTATATGATCCCGTTATAAAACATTATTGGCCGTTAAACCTTGAATATATAAATCCCCTTCTAAGTCCGTCTGTTGGAAAAAGCGACTACGGAACTTGGCCGGTTTTTTTAATAGATGCAATTGTAATGTTGTTACATTACACTTGCATCTATTAGGTAGTTCGAATAAGTCAACAATGGTATTTCAGTGTTCTGAAATACAATTGTTGAGTTATTCGAACTACCGAAGCAAATTCATATACAATAAACTAACCCACCCAACTACCCATTTCATGAAATATTTAACAAAACATTATGTTTTATTGATATTTACAGGCCATCGTAGTTCTAGATACAATAGTGAGCCTGTTCTCTAAATATTGTGCGGACGAGTATTCGGTGGAACAGTGTAAAGTGTTCGCCTCGGACGGCACTTACGAGCTCTATCCCAAGATGGAGTCCCGAGAGGAAGTCATTCATTTGGACAAAGCCAATCGTTATATCGGCATCAAGTGAGTTTAAGATAAAATTCAGATCATGAACGCCTAATTAGAGGTTTATAACCTAATTGCTGTTATAAGAGACTAATACCATTTACAAAAATAAGAATGTTTAGATCTGATACACAACTTCCCTTTATAATGAAGTTGCTTAAAAATGAAAAAGATTAAACAACAAATAAAATCGACAAAACAAACTAACGCCTTCAGTAAAAAGAATTACGTAAATCCTCAAATACAACAATTTTATAAAAGTGTAAATTTAGTTGTTTTAAGGAACTAGTTTCGTGTTCTACTGAGCAAATACAACGAAACTTTAGAAACTAGCATTTTACACAAAATAATAATGATTCATTTCATTCTTCTGGTGCATTATGATATTTGATGATGTACCTATCATCATCATGATGCTAGTCATGATGGTATTATTCATTACGTTTTATTGTGTATTTATGATATAAATAATAACATTATAACATATAAGTTCAAATAATTGACAGTCAGCAATTTCGGGCCTGTCGTGTAGGTAGCAACAGGTCTGAAAGTGCTAAGTTTAATAAGTATTGCTCGACGTGTAAAGAGAGTTGCGAATTGCAGTCGCGTTATCCTATTACTTTAATCTTTGTCATTGTCATTAACAGAATGTAACAATATAAACAGTTAAACACAGCATAACAAATAAACAGTCGACAACTACTTTTATAAAAGAACACTGATTTTTGTTTGTAACAACATTTTAAAAATAGCGTTTAAAAAGTCAAACGATCCGACAGCTTTTAATATTGTACTTTGCAGCGCGAGCGGCGACCACGTAGCGAGTTTGCTGTCTCGAATGTGTCTATCTGCGACCCATCGCGACTCTGTCGTGCGAGTGCGGGTGCCGCCCACGCGCCATGACGTCATACACGCTTGCGACCTGTACGAGGACATTGCAATCGCCTATGGGTACGTTCTTCCTAATTCGTAATTAATAAACATTGTAATCTTATAAAGATAAAGAAGCCATAGCATGTGTATTGTACACATGTTATGGAATTACAAAATCTAACATCTCGAATTCTCTTCCTCATTTGTTTAGATGACACATGCTTTCAGTCACATATAAAAAATTAAATGATTTGTCTCTAGGTGCGAGAACTCCTCTATGCGCTGACTAATACCAAGATTTGATAATCTAAAAATACTTGAAAAAACAGTTTTTCTCGAAACTTTTAATTCTGTATAAGCTTTCATCCTCATCACTTGGATAATTGGCACTCCACCACTATACGCTTTTTTAGAAACTTTTTGCTTCGCACGACCAATCTATAGAGCAAATAGTCGCCTTCCGTATTTCCGGACTGAAACGATCTTAAAACTTTCAAGAAAATAGTGTACTCCTTCATTAAAGATTGGCAAAGCGTTTGTGACTCTTAAGTTGCATCTCGCTTACCATCAGGTGACCCGTGTGCTCGTTTGCCCGCTATGTCATTAAAATAGCTACGATAATTTAAAATTGGATTTAATGATTTGGGATATGTGCTGTACTATCTGAAACTTTGTTTGAATATATATTAGCATGCGTACAAGACGCTACAATATTGAATTTTTCATTCTATTTTCCTAGTTACAATCGGATAGAACGTCGTCCAGCTCAAGTTGTGACAGCAGGCGGTCAAGACCCCGTAAACAAATTAACTGAACAATTACGACACGAGTGCGCTCATGCTGGGTATACGGAGGCGCTCACATTCACACTGGTTAGTCAAATCTTACTATAATTCAAATTCTGAATTCATAACTAAATAAATTGTGGTAGGTAAAAAAAGCGTCGAGAATCGTTTAATAATATGGACAATACATTATTATCGACTGCACGGATGGCGTACTGGTTTAAGCGGTCGCCACGCCGCTTACCGCTACGCTAAGTGCTGTGGGTCCCATCCCGATTAAGATAGAAAGAGAGAGAGTTACGTTTCGTATATTACTCTAGGGGTAAGAAAGAGAGGTGCCGAGCACACATTTTTTTTCTCTCATAGCCAAGAAGTTTAACTTCAGTCGTGTGGTCTAAAGCACACTCGTTTTTCTTTTGTTTTGCACACTTCTCTCCAAACTATTTATTGCAGTGTTCTCGAGAGGATGTAGCTACAAAACTAGCTGTAAAAATTGAAGACGTTCCTGCAGCGCATATCTCAAACCCTAAGACATTGGAATTCCAAGTTGTTCGCACACGTCTTTTATCTGGCCTACTAAAAACTTTGGCTGCTAACAAGAAGATGCCTTTGCCTCTAAAGCTATTTGAAATTAGTGATGTGGTATTGCAAGATAACAGTGTTGGTGAGTACCTTCTAACTTTTCTATAATCAATTTTGAAGCATCCATATACACAAATCCTTAAGCCAAAAAGCAAGCCAAGCTCAATGACAAGCCTTCCGGCTTGTCAATGAATTAAATGACTATAATATATAGTATATCTAATATATAGTAGTATATATGCAGCAGTATACATGTACTTATTTTAATTACATGAGTTAAAGGAATAAATATAAAATGTTAAGTTGGTTTGTGTACGCTTCAAAAACTCAAAAAGTTCTGCACCGATTGATTGAGCTCAAATTTAGACAGAATATACAACCGGCTTCAGAGATTGTTATTATCTATTTTTCACATTAGTTTTGTATCTCATTTCTCGTCATTGCAACCAGCTAGTAAAGTATATCTTAGCAATTCAAAATTATAAGGTGTTCCCCTTTCAAATTTGATTTTGAATCCTATTATTTAAACAAGTAATCATACATTCCAACGTCAACTGCCAATCAAAATTCAAATAAAAGTATAGCTGAAAGAACTGATAGTTAACTTTGCCTCTCATTACAAGACTCAGAAACATTTAATGTATTTTTAAGTATTTAATGAAATGATGAAGACTGAGCCTACTAAGATCTTGTTTTATTTTAATTAAATCATTCATATTATATTTGGATAAAGTATAGAAAAGAAATTAGTTGTAAATTACTAAAATTTATTATAATGAAATAAAACTTAAATTGTTAAAATAACTTGTGTGTATGCATTATTTAAAAGCAACAATCAACTTTCCTGTTCATCGTCTTGAGCCTTATTTTCCTTTATTGTTTACATTAACTTTATTTATTGTAGCTGTTTAGATGACAATTTTTTAATATGCGTTTCTTATTCCCTATTTACTTCTATTGGGATTTCCTTGTGAGAATCAGAATATAAACGAATAAATAATAATAAAACGCAACTACGCAACAGTAAGAGGGCACTTTTTCATTTTAAAATAAAAACACGTATTTTATGAAAGAGTTGTGATATTTTTATTGGATTGTAAAGAAGACATGTTCTGATTAAGTATGGAATAAAATATCCGGCAAAAGGGCCCCCACGGCTCTGATGACAGGCCATTACTCTTTTCATAAAAAAAATCCATGACTTTTACACAGAGATGTGGCTGTATCTCACAGATGACGCGTTGGATCTCTGATTTGAGAAATGTGAAAAAGTGCACTCTTACTGAGACACTTTTGTAAGACGATGTTACTTGCTAAATTTCAGAGTCAACGGGAAGTACCTTATGAATTTTGATTCACTCGAGTGTCGAAATATGCGTTTGTTGCGGCATAAAAGGCCGTAACTTTTTTTATACAAGGGTTCAGTTTTTTCCTTTTGATTTTCGGATCCCTAAAAATGACAAAGTTTAGAAAAATATATTGCAAAATTACTATCCTTTTTTTTATTATTACATGAATTTGATTTCGTTTTTTTTTCATAGAAACTGGAGCTCGCAACGAACGACGGCTGTGTGCTGTGCACTGCGGACGATCCGCTGGCTTTCAGTTTGTGCACGGCCTTCTAGATCGCATCATGTTATTGCTTCGAGAAACATGGGACAAACAAACCGGATACTTCCTACGACAATGCGAAGGTATAACATTTCATCTCTACTTGCTCCTTGGCATGTATACACTCTACCGCTTCAAAGTATTTGTCCACACAGAAAAAGACATTTGTACAAGTTTGAATCAGCCATCTCGAGTTTTCAAGTCAAATTTGGAATCCCTGTTATAATGTCTACAGTAATAACATAGAGAAAATCTAAAAACGGTTTATCAGATACTTAGGTTTTAAATTCAAACTACCACATCTCGATTATGAACAGCAATGCAGTAAACTACATATTTTGCCTCTTTCTCTCCGTAGAAAAATAGCTGATATCTGTCTTCTCTTAAATATACCTCAAAACAGGTTAGACTGTCCTGATATCCTTTGCAATATTAAACTTAATGTGCCCACCAGAAATTTTGCGTTCCAGTAATCTACTTCATATTCCATTTTGCCACAGTAATTATCGGTATAATAGCTACATACCAAGGGTTTCCAGATCTTTTAATAGACTAAACCACAATGAAGTCATCGATCTATTATGCAGTAGCACCAGAAATCTCAAAAATGTTATGTCTTTAGTTAGATCCTAAATTGTTGTAACTATCCATGTTACACATACATCTGTAGTCTATTTAGTATGTATTATTATAGATACCAGCACTGTCTTCTTTCTACACGTGGAAGCTTGTAAATGGCATCTAGATAATTAACATCGTATGTATTTTGTAAATTTAGCCGTAAGCTCCCCAAATATAATAAAATAAAATAAAACATAATATTATGTATTTTATAATATGCCAAAGTTGTAATAAATATTAATATTTATTGTAAATTTCAGATCCTGCGTACTTCCCGGGACGTTGCGCTGAGGTGATACTGCGAGGGCGTGTGATCGGCAAGATAGGGGTCATTCACCCTAGCGTGCTTGCCTCCTTCGATCTCACTAACCCGTGCTCAGCCGTAGAGATTAACATCGAGCCATTTGTATAATATGCACTGAACTGATGCGTAGTTATATTTATTTGTTGCATTAAATATCCTTTCTGATACTATTTTGATTGTTTCATGCCCTTGAGAAGCAGGGTTAAACTTTGAGAATGGCCTTTGCTTATTGCATTGTTTCATCAAGATAATTCTCAAGTAGATAGAACTGTAGACCAAGGACTGATATTCATAATAATTGCAGATTTGAATTGTTTCCACATACAGGGAGTATGTGGAAACAATTCAAATCATTGGTTAACTTGAAACAGTCTCACAGACCTACTCTGAGACTCTTGTTTTAATCTGAACAACATGTAAGTGTGATGAAACTTGGAATGGAATGTAGCTTCGAAACTTTTAAGTATCATTTTTTTAACTGAGATCAAGGCTTGACCGTAGAGATAAAAGTGTTTTGATCTCTGCGGTGCGTGGTCCCAATTTGGTTTCCGAGTCGGACGTTCGACTGCCGGTTTTGCGCCTGAGGGCCGTGACCGAAGAGGCGGTGAGGTGTGGTGGTGTGCTGTTGGCAGTGTCGTTGGACATCGAGAACGCTTTCAAGTGAGAGAGACGCCCGAATACCAGACAGCCACCCCGGGTAGCCAGGCGTGTCTCTCTGGTAGTCGGGCGCATCGAGGATTGAGGCCCTTTAATTCCATGGTCCGGTAGTGGTCCACTCCCCCGCGCCTCAATCGTGGTCAACTCGGTCCTCGTACTAGTTCAGTGAAGTATTTGGGCCTGATCCTCGACGGTAGGTGGCTCTTCGACGAGCACTTCAGAAGGCTTGCCCCAAAGCTGGCGACTTTTGCCCAATTTGGGTGGATTCAGATACAGCGTCGCTACAAGACGGCTATACACGGGGTGGGTGGCCGTTTAATGTACTGTACGGTGCACCAGTGTGGGCGGCGGCTTTGACCGCCCAGAATAGAGTCCGCCTCTTGCGCCCACACAGGATATTGGCGGTTAAAGCCATACGTGGTTACCGCACCGTGTCGAGGGAAGTGGCATGCGCGTTGGCTGAGATTCCCCCAGTGGATTTGAAGGCGGAAGTGCTCGCCGAAATCTATGGGCGGACAGCTGAGTTCCGGGCGGATAGCAGCAGTCAGCCCCCGCCCGAAGAGGTTGGTCGACACGGCTGGAGGCTCCACTGCTGGCTGTGCCGCCGTGGAGGCGCTCCAGCCGGAACGGTTTTGACCCCTTTGCGGGTTTGAACGTGGCACAGTGATAAAAAGGGTATGTCAGGTATACTTATTTAAAAACAAAAAATTGAAAATTACGCCTCTTGCAATGTTTTTAAAATCCAGGATTATTACCTAGAAAGGTAGGATGCGCACTAATGAACGCAACCGCCACCGCCAGCCAGAACTCTAACGGAAAGAGCAAGAAGGACGGCATTTCACAAAATCAGCTGACCTGAAATTCTTACTTTTCAAACGTTGCTAGCTCCCGTACTAACATACCTTCAACAGAATATTCCATCACAAAAAACTCGTTTCTTTTTGCTACCAATTTTAAAATATGTTATCACAAGTGTGCATCAAATGCAACTGACTTGCAAATGAAAATGACCTCTCTTATAAGGGTTACTTTGACCCCCTGATAAGATATCTTTATGAGGTGTTAAACAAATTAATTCTTGAAATTCGTTACTTGGGGGAGTTGTTAACAAGTCGTTATCAGTGGTTCCTGGAAATTACGTCATGAATATTGTCCCGCTAGCATGTTCTAGGCGAATCACTGTGTGTCGTCTAAATAGAGAGTTTTACTAAAGGTGGTGCCCGCGCCTTTGCGAGCAGGCGCTAGAAGGGGTGCGTATATTAGCTGTTGCCGGAGCCCTCTTATTTCAAGCGCAGAGTGGCACACCGTGTGCTTTTAGTCGGTTCGATTCCAACACACCGCCCCGTCGCAAACCCCGGTGGGGTGACGGCCCGAGGGGGTTGCCACACGCAGATGGTGCATATGTCTAAAAGTACTATGATAAACCTTCTTTTATTTACATTTCAATCCACCCTCTTAGTAGATAATGTCTAACCCTATACCACAAACCCGCGTAGCCGTAGGTATAATGGTAATGTAATTATCCCAGAACAGTTAAAAAACATATAGTTTTATTCACTGTTTTGTGGTGATTAAGAATGGAACGGTAATGGCAGGTAACTCTAAATACGGTTAAGTTAAGACAAACAAGAGAACGCTGTATTATTATATTTATTATTCGTACAATAAAACAGCACAAACAAGTGTTAACTGTTAAAATCACTTTTCATTTAAGTAGATAATAATTACACAATATCAAATATAATTCGTTGAATTTTCAATTAACACACATACTTTCCACCTGGATGATAGTAAAGCATACCTAGTTTGTAAGCATTAAAATACTTTGAAGAAAATTACTCTAAAATTTATATTCGATACGTACAGGTTTACAGGTACATTTTTACTGTTACAGCTGTAAAAACACTTATATATAAATACTAAAAAAAGGTAGACTAAGCCTCAATAAAAGAATTCGGGCAATATACAAATGTATGAAAGAACAATAGTTCTATTGCAGTGCTTTACTAGAGTGCTCCCTAGTTTCTATTGCATACTGCAATTTTAAGAAAAGTATAGCAGATATTTATTTAAAAAATACTTTGAAGGAATTGACGACATAAACCGTGTTAAATGAATAACACTATGTATTCGGTGTAATGTGTAAACATTTCGTGCTGGTAATACGGTTTTTGGAATTACAGAGTTACGTACCATTAAAGAAGGAGTTACTGGCCGACACAATATTTCATTTACAGGTCGCATATATGAATGCTTTATTAACTGTTAATTCAGATGCAGCTGTAGTGCAAGTCGAAAGAAGAAAGACAGAATTTAAGGCCAGCAACTAGCCAATAGGACCAAGATCTGACGCTTCTGTTATTGGCCGTTTGTTTTTATGTTTCGTTCCGCTTATCGTGAGAGCATTGCATTCTATGGGCGTTTCTTTATACCCATAATAATTACTCATTATAAACATTAAATAAACCTGCGTTACCATAGGTAATACTGAATCTATAAAGGTATTACGTATAAGATAATTTATAAGTAGGTATGTAGATATTAACAGATGAGGTGATCACTATTGCAACACCCTACAATTATATCTATGGCTTTTAAGTGTGTAGAATTTATTTGAGCCAGGTTCATATTATTGTGGCGTTTGGCGCCGGAAGTATAGCGGTCTCACATATTCAATATGATTATATTTACAATATCACGACACAACAATTTAAACCTGGCTTTACACAGTTGTTTTAAATAATAACCAATAACTAGTTTTTAAATTATTGGTAACTTTATATGTACTTGTTTAATGTATATTTTTATTATTTTTAAACCAAAATAAGTTACTGTAACCAAAGTTCTCTCGTTAATAGAGAGTCTGGTTCATACCCTGGTACTATTATTGTCTAGTTTCATGTATGAGCAGTAGTTACAGTATTTTTACGACATTTGTAAATATCACATGAATTGCTAATGAACTACTTACTACATTACTATGAAATTGTAAATTCAATTCTTTTGTATAAAAATTGGAAGTTGTTAATCACAAAACCAAAATGCATCTAGTTGCATCCGCATACAGGGCAAGTTGTAAGTCGCACAGCTTAAATAATAATAGCTAAGATATTTTTGTAAAAGCGTTACAACCGACATTAACTCTTCGCATTTCGACAGTGAAAGGGGGCCTTGTAAGTGTTTATGTTAAAAGAACCAATAAAAACCGAAAACTCGAACGAAACGAAAGTTTAAAGCAAATCAAGACTTTTTGTAGTTTCGATAGGTTCAGACTAGGTACACTATTATTTTATTTAATAAGCGGTATCTCACGAATATTTTTTTATGAACAATTTTTTTACCTATACTAGTTACAATCATTTATTTACCGCCGTTTTTAATAAAAGCAGAAAGTTTTTTTTTAAGTTACTCCAACGATGTCTCATGGCATAAGTTTGAACTTAATCGCGTGTGGTCTTGGGTTGGATTCTCAAGCAAAAAGGGTGTCCCTTAGGTAGGTACAGGCTTTTGCCGAAGAATCGCTTTTCTGTCGAGAAATGTTCAGTAGAGTGTGGATACCGCAACGATGGTAACAGGTAGTAATAAAAAAAAATACTTTTAATGTGCCGTACTACCTATACAGTAGGTAAAGAAACATCGAGGATTTGAACATCTCAGTGTTTACAGTGTTTACACTATGAGTATGTATAAGTTTTTTTCGTTATAGAGAGTTGTGGTCGTAGAGTACCCAGAAGCAAAAAAACGACCAAACTTATAATAGTTATGTTTATGTAGTAATTCATAACCTCTTGTAGTAGTATAATAATAGTTTGTTTTAAGAACCTACATAATGAACATTTATTCTTAATAGGGAATGGTTGTTGCGTTATAAAGAGTTTATCAATATATGGGTTTGAGTTGACGGTAAACCAACTAAATTGTGCTCATTTTGATGTACTTATAGAAATTTTATCGTTCTAGGGAATAACCTTATACAGAGTTTACACTGAATGTATAAAACCGGTAATTAAATTCAATGTCCCTTCAAGAACTCGTAGTGGAGGTTATGGGATTTATAATAAATTTCGATATCTTAAAAAGTAATGGAAATAAAAAGGAAAAAATAATATTTGCACAAATACGTAGGTATTGTTTGTTATTCAACCCATAAGTTTATAATTAAGTATTAATTTATAAGAATTTTACATCAAAGCTTAAGACTTACCCTGTAAATCTATTACGTTTTACTTAAAAATGCGGTCATGTTTTTAGATCTTTCTATATTTCAAAATAAGCTTCCTATAAGAAAATTGTTAGGGTTTTATTATTTACAAGGTCTATTACATGTACGAAGACAAAATATGACTACCCTTATCTGTAAAACATTGTATACCTGTTATTTGCCAATTATACGAATGTATTATTAATTAATAATTTAGTAATATTTATGATAGATTTTTTTATACAGCAATAGCAACTCATTTCCAGGTCAAGTATTGACACTGTATGGCTTCATTATATGGCTAACATTTCTTTATATTATATTAGTGACCCAAACTGTAATACTTTCAAATATACTAATCTATACTTTACCACACTACCTGTCATACATCAACCACAGTCCTCATAATACCAACGTCTACTAGGTAGATATCACTATGTTATGTAATACTTTTTAATTTACAATTACAGCAAATTTATTGTTTAAAACAAAAATTAGTCTATATACATATACCACAACACAACCTAGAAACTAAAATAATTTTAAAATTGTTAATATGATCTATACTTTACTTTTCAGTGGAGCACATGGTGGCAGCTAGCAACTTTTAGCCAACATAAATACTGTCACTTAAGAATACTTTCAAATTGGTATGGTGACCTAATGATGCAGCAAATAATTGCCTTTACTTTAAGATAATGAAATAAATACTTAACCTAGATAAGTTGGACGGATAACTCAACCGTCTACAGTGTATGTATACATATATATCACAACTATTTCAATCCAATAACAATTGTATTTTGAACATTCTTTCCAATTCTGATCTATTAAAGTTAGGACCAATGATGAATGGACAGAGATAGAATGACAATTCCTTTAAGTTAGGGGCGCTAGTTCTTATGGCTTTAGCAACCTGCATAGTGACATGAAGACATCGTGAAAGACTAAGGTATGTCAGGTGTTGAAAAGTATTATTAGAGAAATAGGCGAGGAGAGCACTAGTTGAAAAGTAACCATGTCGTAATTTTAGAGATTGTAAATTTTTAAGCCTGTATAATTGAAGTAAACTAGAATCAAACAGTGTTTTGCATGTCATTATGTGAAGAACTTGCAAAACCATACAGTTGGATATGTAACAAATGATATCATCATTCAAGGTGTCTCCATATATGTGTAAAGCTCTTAATGTGGATTGTTTAGTTCTTAATAGAGATTCAAGAAAATCAGCGGGTATATTTTTCATTTTTTCCATACTAATACTGACTAAGTGGGTGCATTGTAACATACTGTATAAACTATCATGTGTTAAAGCAAAATTGGACAAAACAAGTGTCTCCAGGTATTTTAATTTTTCAAATGGTAAGTGATAAACAAAGTTGCCATTAGCATTCTCAGGATTTTGTACTATAAGAGAGTTACGAAAACTCAAGAATTTCAAATTTGGCCAGTGACTTAGATCTTCAAAAATACAGCTATCAACCTGAGATATGCTTATTTCTAAATGAGTGAGATTAGGACAATAGCTTATTAAGGAAGATCTCACTTGTGAATACAGTTTGAAATACTGTAGTTTTACATTCTTCAAATACTTTGCAACAAAAGGCACTATATTCTCACTTATCTTGACATAGTTCTTCATACATACTATGAGACGAGTGTTATCCCAGACGCATGGGGTCAGGCACAGTTGTTGCCATCTCATACAAACCTTAGCAACAGCCAAAAGTGATTCAAAATCTACCATGGAGAATATATATATAAGTATTTCATTTGGCAGGTCATTGATGGTAAGTGTATTAGTGTTTAGTTGAGCACCTGGCATGTCGAGATGGACCATGGTTGGCGCCTCCAGCTCGCACGCCCACACTTCTGGAAGCATTTGGTAAGTACTGTTTATACTCTGTGTTCACCTCTACACTTATAATAAAGTACAATTTCTTTATCAGCACATACTGCTTAAAAAATTTAACTTGCCAGACCACATTTAAAGTGTTTCTTATATAAAACGGGACAAAGAATATAAATTAACCCAGTTAAGGTCATGAACCTTGAACAACCCTATTTAATCGTGAGTTTTAGAGAAACCTACTTTAGGTAAACTAATTAAATGATAATGCATTTATTGAAGTAATATGTATAATTACCTCAAATATACCTTGTTTTTTAATAAAGAAAATCTTAGTTTGCATCTGTAGAAACATAACTTGTGTCAAATCTTATTTTTAAACGCACACACCACAACCACGATATATATGAGTCATCGACGAGTAATGTTTTACGTTCAGATATTTATCGTCCATTTTAAAGTATCGTTCAGTGGTTTAAAAATCAATTTAATAAGAAATATTAAAAATAACTTTCATCTTGATGCTATTTTTGTAAAATGTGACGTTTTACATTTATGCTTTTGACATTTGACGGACTGGTGAGATGAGTACCGTTTTGTTAATACTTGACTCAATATAAATGCTACGTTCATCCAGAATGAAACATGAACAAAACGTTACTTTCCATGTACGCTAAACAGGATATGAATGGTACGGTATTGATATAACGTGAGCTGAGTATGGTGGAGATGTGGGGCGGTAACAGCTACAGTCAATACATGATATTATCCTGAACAGTATTAATGTAAAGACCAGTGTTATTTTTGTGTGTTTTACTTTCGTTATTCCGCGAGCTCACAGTACGTTTTAAAAATTGAAAATGAGCATTTAAGTGAATGGATCTATTGATAAAAAGCCTAAAATATTATAAATTTCCGAGGTCTGGTCCCGAAGTTGGTTGGAGCAGCTGGTGTATTGGAGCGGCTGCTGCCCAACATGAGGGTCCCGATGACTCCTGCAGGAGACTTTACTCGCTGGTTGTGCGGTCCATGGCCCTTTATGGGGCCCCAGTATAGGCGGGGGCCCTGGGGTCCAGTAACGTTGCAATACTGTGACGACCGCAGCGAGTGCTGGCCATCAGGATCATAAGGACGTACCGCACGATCTCCTTTGAGGCGGCGAGTCTCCTGGCCAGAACTCCACCGTGGGACCCGGAGGCGAGAGCCCTTGCCGCTCTATATCAGTGGCGCAAGGAGGCGCGGGAGTTGGGTCGGGTCCTGAGACTCGAGAAATCGAGGACCAGAAATCCCAACTCCACCGGGTCCTCGTAGAGGAGTGGAAGGAACGACTTGGGCAAGGTTGTTTCGGAGATCACCTGTGTCTGATCCGCAACGAGCCAACGCTTGAGTGCCACCACTGCAATGGCCGGACCGTGGACACGGCCCTCCACACGTTGGCAGAATGCCCGGCATGGGTGGAGCAGAGGCGTGACCTCGTGGTGGCCATCGGAGTGGGAGTCCTCTCGCTCGGTAGTATGATTGCCGCTATGGTACGGAGCGAGAGTGCGTGGCACTCCGTTGTCTCCTGCTGCGAGCAAGTTATGCTGGCGAAGGAGATGGCGGAGCGGGACCGGGAGAGGTTTAGAACACTCCCGGCCCGCAAGGCCCGGAAAAGGGCCAGGTACCACAGACGATTCGGGCGCCAGAGGTCGCAGAACGACCTCCGTCCTCCATAAGCGCAGGGCTGGGGATCAAACGTGAGGCCATCTGTCACCTTACCCTACAAGCAAGCCGGGGTGCCGTCGAAACGCCCTGCGGAGCGCGCGTGCTCTTTTGGGAGCACCAAGGGAACATAGGGGTTCCACACAGGAGGGGGTCATCTACCCGCCGTAGTTGCCCCGAGGTACGTCAGTTCCTTTCTAGCGTACACCTGGTTCCCCGGCTACTAGTACCTGAGACGGCGTGTGGTTTTTAGTCGGTTCGAGTCCGACATAGCCACCGGTAGGTGGTATCCGAGAGGATTTCCGCACAGAAAAAAAGGGTATTATTTTAAAAACACACGTAGCGTTTATAACTATTTTTAAAAAGTTGTCAACCTTCGCATTGTTTGTTTTTAAAACACTGAATGCAAGCACTGAATTTTAGTTTTGTATTGTGTGTTTGACACACAACACACATTCATCATCAAAATTTTATTTTTATTTAAAAAAACTTGATAATGGGTATGTAAACCACGATAAAATGTAGTTCTTAAAAATAAATAAATTACACGATAAATTAGAGTACAATTTATATCTTTGATTTAATGGGTTAGAATTATATTGATTAACATTAACCGAACTAATTTATATGAACTAGTTGAAGAGAGTTGAACATTTGAGCAACTCACAACTCACACCTGATTTTAGCTTCATATCTTTACATAATATTAAATAAAGTCGCTTTTTTGTGTTGTACGATCTTTTAAACCAAGCAACGCTTTTAATGCGGTTTTCACCAATAGAGGGAGGGTTTCAAGAGGAAGGTTGACATGTATAATACATGCATATTATAGTAGAGAAAATCATCATCATTGTATATCATTATATCATTCATATCTTAAAAATATCTACAAAAAAGTCCGCGATGGTATGGCTATCTCCTAAGAATAAAGCACAGTTAGCATTTTTAGCTTTTAAATATTACAAAAACATGATTGGTTATTTACGAAGCAGTTTTAAACAATACATTATTATTCCTTATCCAATTAAATACATTAGATGCGTTATGCATTTAATTAAAATAAATATTTTAGAAGATATTAGAGGTTTAAAATGCAAGGGCCCAACGACTGTCGAGCCGCCAACGTCCGTCCCGAGTGGCAGCCGCTGGCAGGATCGGAGCGGGCTAAGAATTGCATATAGAGATGTCCTGTATTAAAGTCAATAATAGTAAAATTGCTTCACACTAACACCACATTAGTAGTATTTACATTACACACGTGCGAAGCCGGTGCGGATCGCTGGTATATTTATATAATTATTACATAAATAAAATAAAACAAACAAAAAGTTCCTCTTTAAGTTTTTGCTTACCTCTAAATTGATAACTATAGTTTTGTAAAATAAAGGGATTCGAGATATGCATTTAAAGTTCCACGCAAAAAAAAAGCATAATTATTTGTTTTTTTTTTTGCGTGGACCTTTAAATTCCTATATATAAATAATATTTATAAAAGAAATTTATAAAATGGGATTAAAAAAATCTTGGTGGCAAATAGCCTGACGTAGGAGTGGCCACAGTACCAGATGTTTTTTCTGTATTTGTAGGCGGTATGTATTCCTTTGCAGAGGCAGCATTTTGCGAAGTATTTGTAAGACCTAGAGCTTGTAATGGCGTTGACGATAATGATGATTTTGGTGGAAGATAAGCTGTACTTGGAACTGAAATTGAACCTCTTGAGTTTGTTTGAGTATTAATAGTTATGGATGCTGGTGTTTCGCTCGTTGAAACGACATTGTTAATCAACGGGGGCAAATAGTTTTCTGATAAAGTTCCCACAGAGTTGGAACCCGTCTGTGTGGCAATATTGGATCCGATTAGTGGTCCGGCACCAGAAGCAGCAGAACCGCTGCCAATGTTAATTTTACCCTCTCCTCCTAAACTAATGCTTGCACTGCCTCCGACAGGTGGTAAGTATCTAGGAGCACTTGTCGACACCTCAGACGAACTTTGATATGTTTGTGACAAAGTTGGTGAGGGGGCTTTGTAATTGTATTCAGAATTGGCTTTACTATTAGAGTTGGTCACAGATGCTGTACTAGATAGAATTGTTTGAGAAGCAGTATTCGAGACTTGGGGTGCAATATTTGCCTGAGTTTCTGTTGGACCTGGAACAGGCGTTTCATATTTGTAGCCCCCGCTACCGCCTGTTGACGATTGGTAGTTGTAGCCAGATGAGCTACCCTCTGAGACAGGAGCAGCAGCAGTGGTACTGATTATAGGGCCAGTCGTGCTGCCAATGTTGATGGCATCTCCGCCCGCTGGTGCTGGGTATGCGTAATACATTTGCTGTTCCAGTATCCTGTCAACAGTTGGTGCTTGAGTAGACTCAATAGTGGACTGCGAGGGCAAGTCAAATGATATATTCGGTTTATTGTACACGTACCCATCTTGCCGTCTCACACGCACACGAAGATCCTCCTCAACATTGTTTTGGATGACGGCTGCGTTTGATTTTAATACCAATGTTAAAAAGAGATAATATGAACATCTCAAAGGTAGCCTCATTTTCTTACAGACCTAGTCCAACCAAGGATAATTTTATAAAAGACAATTTAAGCTCTGTTTATAAGTTTTTATAACAATTTATAGGAAGTCACAAACCCTTAGAAATTACTGCAAAAGTGATTACTAACCCTTAAAAGTCTGCTTAATATATTATTATATTATTAACATTATTCTGCAATAATACCAACAATAATACCTACCTGATAAGCTAATGGTGCTGGATTATGGGTTAAATGTTGCTATTATAGCAATCCTTTTTTTTTGGAAATTGTTGATAGTGTAATCCAGCTATTCTCCAGATTGTATACTACCCTTAATGGCCTATCCGGTATATACATGAGGTTATCAGAGGACTAAGGACTCTAATTCTAGCGGGAGTACTCAAATGCCGGTAACGCATTTGTCACTCTAGAGTTGCATTTGTCCATGGGCGGCATTAGCCCCTTTTTTTTTGACGGGGTGGAAATTCCCCTTCGGATCTCCTGCTCCTCGGGGCTACGAGCTAGGAGTATGTGGTGATTGCACTAAAAACCACCCAGACGGCCGGCCTCAGATGCTCTACTCTGGGAGGACCTGGACCATGTTATTTCAGGTCCTCCCCGAATTGACACCATGCCTAGTCAGGCCCTATCCCAGGGGAAAAACACTTCTCCCTCAATCGCGACGTGGCGGCCAAATTTCGTCTTAATGCAATCAGGCTGTCATCCTATCCCCTACCGCAGCATTCAATCTGCCACCAGAGGTACCCACTCCCTGGCGGCCCGCCGCCCTGTCGGCGGCTGGTATGGTCGCCGACGTCCACTACGCTTGGGATCGGCCCTCTCCCGATCCCGTTCAGCGGTCCCTTTCTGGAGCATTACAGCTTCACAGAAAGAGACCACTGCGCCCCATCCCTCCTCGCTCGCCAGCATGGCAGCAATGATTGCTGCCGGGGGGCATTAGCCCCCTGTATCATAAAAAACTTAGAAATTGCTTATCTTAAAACTAATGTTTGACATCATCAATTCAACTGCTACTTGAAGATTCAGATTCTAGAACATTAATGAGAAATAATTCTGCAAATTAGACTACTATTAAGTGTTTTTTCTAATAATAAATATTTTTGGCTTTCATAAAATGCCCTAAGTTACCAATAGCTGATGAGGGATGCAAAGGGTTATTTCCTCACCTGTCATTTTTGCGGTTTGCAGAATTGTAAATTAAAATATTTTATTCTCTGTTAGTAAATTAACTACACAAATCACGACCTCAGACCTAGCATTAGTGAAACGACTTTGCCGCTTCGGCCTTTGTTGTTCTACGAGAAAACTTACCTTGAAATTACATTGTAACTAATATAAGGAACTTCGTTCCAATAACGTGTTTAATTTTTCACTGAACTTGTATGAGATTTGATTTGATTGAGTAAACTAGAATTTTTATTAAAAAAAAAGGTTTAAATATATGTACCTATTTTATATTTAGTATTGAGTTTGAAATTAGTTATTAAATATTTTATATTCGTTTGTTTTTGCTTGAATGACGAGAACACGTTTGGTGAAAGGAATGTTTTATGTAGGCCACCCCTTGATATCTTAATCAAGGCAAGCGAACATTGTTGAACGTTGAATAGTTAAACTTCTTCATTCGATTGATAAAGACGTAAGAGCTGTCTGAGCGGTTATTAAATCTGGTAAGTAGTTTTAAATAATTATGTTTATGACAGACATACGTTTAGTTTTGATTAAGGTCTCCTAAAATATTTGTGTTAGCTAAAGTATTTGTAAGTTCCTTATGGCGCGTTACACGCTCTGAGCGAATGGGAGCGAGACCCAAAAATGTGTAACAAGACTTTGCCGATACTATAGCAAAGCCCTACCAAAAAGCGAAAGGATCTTCGTTCCGACAGCCCCGAGGAGTTTATGGAGCCCCATAAACTCCTCGGGGCTCCACGTGTATATCTTTGTTCATGGATGTGACGTGAAGAATTGAAATAATTATAATTGTTAATGTGCCGATTGGGGCGTTTATAATTAGAATGAAATACACCAACGACGTTTACCATTGACCAATTACTGATATATTTTTTTAATAACTTGTCCTATTAGTTATCCTATCCACTAAATTTAATGAGTATTTAGATAAACTAGTGATAGTAAGACTAACCGTATTGTTTTCCTACAAATTAAACTATTATATATACATAAACAATATAAAGCTTTTTAATTTAATGTTCAAAAGCCTTGAGTGATTTTTATTGACACCATTCTTATTAATTGGGGTGCAAACAGGCCCCTCTTTCACACTGGGCACTCTGGGCACGTGCCCAGGGCCAATCGATCGATATCCAGTTACCCTAATTCCCGCCAGATCGCCAATCGATAATTGATACTTATTACCGAAATGAATATTTATTTCGAAAAAATGCAGCGGAAATGACTGACTACGAGTATAATACTCGGTTTGTCTATTCTAACAGAAAAGTAATCAGACAAGGTCGTAGGGGCCCCATCACCCAAATGTGCCCAGGGCCTCTAATAGGCTAAAGACGGCCTTGGGTGCAAAGTGGTTGCACAAGTCTAAGAGTTGCGAGAATTTGTCTCTATAAACGTATGTACCTACTAGCACCACTTTGGTGGATGTGGAGTAACAGCTATAACCTAAAATATTACATGATCTTTTAGAAGCCCTTGACCAACTTTAGTTATCATTATATGACGAGTATTTACTAAAACGTAATCTGTCACAAATACAGTAGTACAATGTTTATAATTATGTCAATTACGCACAATGAATGTGCAAAACGTGCACTCAGGTAATTTTGCTACAAATTGTATTTAATACTTGAGGATACATTTTGACCAGCCTGTGGTCCAGTGGTTAGCGATCGTGATTGCTAAGTCAGGGGTCGTGGGTTCGCTTTCCACCCAGGACAAATAATTGTGTGATGAGTAGGTACGATCATCTTGTAATTCATTATTTTTCGTTAGTCAACCGCGACCTGCCCCGGCTTCGCACGCAAAAAAACAAAAAAATAGTTTCATACATTGACACTGACACCACATTAGCGCGGAGTCAGTGTAAAACGATTAATGATATTATTATAATGATTAGACTATGCTACAGGATACTTTTATATTGAATGTTTGCAGCTGTTTTTAACCGATGTCAAAAGCACAAAAGAAGAGGTACTCAATTCGACTGTATTTTTACACGCTTTATATTAGCTTTACTTGTATGTTTGTTTGTAACCGACTCCTTTGGGCGTGATTTTGACTGACTTTAAACGGTCAGAATTCGTTCAAACTTTGTAGATATATCGAGGACCTATGACAATACACTAATTAAAAAAAAATAAAAAAAAAATAGTTTTAAAAAACTAAAAAACACGCTTTTTATAGAAAACCAAACTAAAAAATAGAAAATAAATTTTAATAAATTTGAAAAAAAAGCGTGGGGTGCTTTTTACTATTGACAACAGGCACATCACTTTTTCTATAAAAAGCGTGTCAAAATTATTTTTTTAATCGAAAGGGTATACTCCCAAAGTGGTCCCATTACCACCAAATCAGGATTTGATGATAAGATCACAGATAAATAGAGGGAAACCCCTTAAATTGCACAGCAACAACGACGTGTTTTAGCTTTTTCTCTACCTATACCTACAGGTATTTGCGTTTGGTATTCGTGTTGCTGGAAGGTTCCTTGTCCTTTAGAATTAGAGGATAGCTCTTTCAATAATATAATCAGGTTTTGACCATGATTTATTCTGTAAGATATTTGTGTGTTGCTGTTGATTTAATTGAAATTAAAATCACGGGGGTGCTTTAAAAAAATTTTTTACCTTATCTCTTCGTACGTTTTACAAAGTACAACTAAACTAAGACTAGGTCATCATTCTGTGTCGAAGGCGCTTACAATAGGATGTCCTCTTTAGTTTTAGAAAGAAACTTTTCATTTATCGAACATATTAAAACAGTAAAGACACTCATTTAATGAATTGTAAACGGTCACAAAATCCTAAATTTTTAACTGTTTCTCTGTCATTACGAAATCTATGAAAAATGCATTTCGTTTACTTTAGTTTTTTTTTCATTAAATGTTAAGTATGATGTTGCAAATTAATGTGAAAACATGTTAATTTAATTGTTGTGTCATGTTTAATTATTATTTGTTTAAAAAATAAAATTAACTATTTTATATTTCCCTTTTTTTTGTGTTCCGCTAATTCTGCCAGCGTGTTTAGTTAATGAAAAGTCTAAAAAGAGTTTCTGTGCATTGACTAGGATATCAACTGCGACATGGGGTCTATCATTTGATCCACTAAAGATCATATACGGAGCTACTTTTTAGGTTCTATGTGCTATGGTGCAATTGTATGGGCCGATAGGGCAACCGTAGGCGCTGTCCATCGCAAACTGTTACAAGGCCAACGACTTTCACTGATATTCTAGTTCAAGTCATATAGGACGGTTACCACTGAAGCTTGCCGGTCTTGGCGGATGTGCCAATGTGTGATGTGTGGATATTCAATTCAACAAAACATGGAATGCGATTTTTAGGGCGCACGAGATCGCGATAAAATTACAAGATTGCTTCACAGCAGTCATGACCTCATAGACGAATGGCAACAACGCTGGGGCGAATCATCTAAGGGGCGCCACCTTTACCAGTTCTTTCCATCTGTTCGCGGACTGTTGTCGAGAACATGGCTTGAGGTGAATCACTGTGTCGCTCATTTTTTTACAGGTCATGGTAACTTTCAGAGAAAACTGTATTCATTTAAATAAGTCGAGTCACCATTGTTTCAATGCTCAATACCTAACTCTAACTGTAGATAGTGTGCTCATCATATCCTCTGGGAATGTAGTCTTTGGTATAAAGAACGTAATATAATGCTGAATGGCTTGCAGGTGACATCTGGAGCGGTATACTATAGGGATCTTGTGTCAACTAGGGTGAATTTCTATGCGTTTAGGCGATTCTGCAATACATATTATAGACATCAAATATCTTACACTTAGGATCCATAATAATCTGTGGCCGTGGTGCTTCCCTGTGTAAAAGAGTGTATGCCTATTTTACTAAAAAATTTCTCCCACATTGCTAAGGAGGGAAGTGGATTTACTCTATTTCAAACTTCTCCAATTTTCTTCTGATTCTTCTTCTTCCTCCAATTTCATTGCGGGTTCCTAGACACTTAATTTTTTTTTCCTGGGACTGCCCGAGTGTCATAACTCGGTGTATTCGTGGGTCACTGCTGTTGATCCTGGTGATGGAGGAGTTACAGTGGTGGGCGGTTAGTGTGGGAGGGATTGGTCCCATTTAAAAAAGGTGTTTGTGTTGGGTTACAGAGATATGTACGCAAGAAAATAAAATATGAGATTTCAAAACATTAAAACAAAAAAAAATGTTTGTTACGCAATAATTTTTATGTTTGTTATCTCATTTGTTACTCTTTCATTTGTTAAACGATTTGGAAAATTCTTTTTTTATTTGGAAGCTCATATTTCCATTCAAATGTGAGAAAATAAAAAAGAACTTTTTTTTATGTTTTATTATAATCGCAAATCAAGTCGAAATCGTGTTATAAATTTTTATTAGTTTCTTTAATGTACTTCTTTAGATTTTATGTTTATTGTGTTGCGATCTATCTGTGTGCGTTTCTTAATGTGTTAGAAATTGTTGGTGCAAATGTCAGGGGCCAGCTGCAAACCAGTGCTGTGTTCTCGCGCAACGTGAACTGAGCTGGTAGCCTTTGTTACTGGTAGCATTGTGCCTAAATGTTTCATAATATTTATTATTTACCTGTTTTTAGATTGTGCCTTGTATCTGTACATGTTTTATGTATCTTGTGTAGGAAAAATAAATGGTTTAAAAAAAATCCTAATGGTGGAAAATTAAGTAAAGCGGTAAATGCGTACTTAGGTAACATCTTAGTAACTTATCTAAATAATTAAAACTAAAGTTAATATAATAATCTAACATACTAGAGTTTGGTAATATAAACGTAATGGTACGTAGTGTTTTGAATATCGTATCTACTCATTTCAAACGACCAACATACCAAAGACTACCACTACCAAAATAAGTGTGTTCCTTAATATAACAATAGATACCTCGTTTACCCGCTCTGATATTTTTGTATATTGTAGCTATACATTAATGCCTACTTTTAATCCTGAAACAATATAGAACAGTTCTTTTTGTTTGTTTCAGAACTTATCAACATACAATGCTTACATGTTATCCTGTTATTAATTCTCTCAGAGACTTACCTATAACAAATCAGAAAACTGCCATCTGAAGTATTTATGCATTATTAGCCAAGTATTGATGCGCTTATAAAACATCATAATTGTATATATCAGTAAAAGCCCCTAAACGTTAAGAAATAGTTTTGTCCAGCTAGCTTGTTCTACGCGATTCACTGTGAGACGGCGGCATGAAACTTTATTTTATACTATGTAGAGATAAACCATCCGGACGCTTTAAGCGGTAATGGTTTAACGGTTTCAATCAGTCAGTAGTACTTATATGTACTGAATTTGTTATTAATACTTTTATGATTTTTAATATAAGATGGCAAAACTCATTAACTCTGAATTCTGATAGATTGTCCTAAATATATCGCACCTTGAACATGATTATCAGGAAACACAACAGAACAATTTCTGAACGTGAATAATTAGAAGCAAGCAAAGATGCATCTCTAACAAGGCATGTGGAATGAAGTTTTGTAGAAAGCCCTTGGTAAATCAAATGACAAATGTGAAAGTTGTAAACTTTCTTAAACGAGCTTTTTATTTTTAGTAACATGGTATTGAAGCTGTACTCCGTGGCTGATGGCCCTCCATCCCTGTCCTGCAGACAAACCCTAGCAGCTTTAGATATACCCTTCGAGCTTGTTGATGTGAACTTTAATAGTGGAGAACACATGACTGAGGAATATGCGAAGGTACGAATATTACACTATGTACCTACCTAATTTACTCTATTACCATCCATTATATAAAAATAAAAAGCTCGTTTAAGAAAGTTGTAAACTTTCTTAAACGAGCTTTTTATTTTTAGTAACATGGTATTGAAGCTGTACTCCGTGGCTGATGGCCCTCCATCCCTGTCCTGCAGACAAACCCTAGCAGCTTTAGATATACCCTTCGAGCTTGTTGATGTGAACTTTAATAGTGGAGAACACATGACTGAGGAATATGCGAAGGTACGAATATTACACTATGTACCTACCTAATTTACTCTATTACCATCTCTGTGAATTACTTAAGCATGTCTGGTGCACTCATCTGTTAACTATAGACCTTTTTTATAGATTAAGAGGTATTTCGGCATTGTAATAATAAGTAATTAAATAGCTTGTCCGGACTGTTTGTTTGCTTTACTTCCTTTAGCAGTTGAAGGTAAGGAAAAGCAACATTCCTCGCCTTGTAATTTTATTGTTGTTTTTTGGTTCTTTTTTGCTTTTAATAATGTTTTAGTTTTATTCTCATAGAGACTTAGATAAGTTGATAGTAGAGGGTATTCCCGTAAGGACTTCCGATAGGTGGTAACAGCCATATTGTTGAAGCTGGATCTATCTAATTGGCTGTCGTTTATTTCGTCTGTTTTGCCAAATCACCATGGACGGATATAGCGTTCAAGAATACGTGCATAAAATAAAATTGTTTTATCAAAATTTATGTTATGTTTGGCATAAAGGTCCTACCGAGTAGACTATTATAGACTAGTTGTGGGTAAATTTGAGTTCACTCTTTTAGTAAACAAACAAAAATCTAAATTTTGGTCTTTAAGAGACCAATCTCTTAAAGACCAAAATACAAAATACTCTCGTAAAGACTCTTTACAAGAGATGGTTTACTTAGATCACTTGCTTTAAACAGACATTTCTGTAAAACAGCGAATGAATTGGACAATGTAATGCATATTTATATAGATATCTTAAAAATATAATAGCTTTTGTTTTCTTAGGCAATATTAACCTTCTGCTTGTTCAGGTCGGCTAGTGAGTGAGTGGGAGTTATCTCGCTCGATAGCCTGATTGCGGCTATCGTGCGGAGCGAGAGTGCGTGAAACTCTGCCGTCTCCTTCTGCGAGCAAGTAATGCTCGCGAAGGAGACGGCGGAGCGGGACCGGGAGAGGTTTAGGACTCTCCCGGCCCGCCAGGCCCGGGAACGGGCCAGGTACCGCAGGCGACTCAGGTCGCAGAACGACCTCCGTCCTCCATAAGCGCAGGCCTGCGGGTGACAGGTGAGGCCATCTGTCACCCTAGCAGAAGCAGGCCGGGGTGGCGGCGAGCGCGTTGCGAAGCGCGCTCGCTTCCAGGGAGCACAGGTAACATGGGGTTCCCACACGGGGGGCGGTCGTCTACTCGTCTGTAGATGACCCGAGGTATGTCGCGGCACCAGGGACTTCCTTTCTAGGGTATACCTGGTTCCCCGGCTATTAGTACCCGAGACGGCGTGCGGTTTTAGTCGGTTCGAGTCCGACATGCCACCGACAGGTGGTATCCGAGGGGATTTCCACACAGTAAAAAAAAAAAGGTCAGCTAGTGAGTGAGCACTTAAGTACGAGTATTACAAAGTACAATACAAAGCTCCTCCTATAAACCTACTTCTTAATAACGTTTAATTATTTAATAGTTGAATCCACAAAAAGAAATTCCAGTTCTGGTCGATGACGAATTCTGCCTAAGCGAAAGCGTGGCCATCATGCAGTACGTTTGTGATAGGTACAAACCGGATTCGCAATTGTATCCGAAGGAGCCTAAAGCAAGGTATGAATATTTTCCCTAATGTTACTAATTCTAATAATCTAAGTACAATTCATAATTATAATATAACACTTTCGAAACTTATTCTACTTAAGTACCGAATCGCTATGTTGGTTGTCGCTCTCGTTCGCTCGAGTATTAACACACTGTATGAATCAGGGTCGCAGTAGTTACCAGTAGTAGCGTGCAGAAACTCTTTGATAAATTAGCTCTGAATCCTGGTAATCACTAGCGCTTATTTTACTGTAGCCAATTCGTCGAAACACCTACGCGACCTCCACGCGGCGGCCGCCTGTCCTCTGTGCAACCACCTAGCGGCGTTCGCTTTAAATACATGCGAATCATATAAACGCGCCCTAAGAGTGCTAGACTTATGTTAAGTCTTAGACGGCATACGAGCTCAGAATCTTGGGTAACTGCTAATACTAATGCTAATACTAATTTTGATATAATATTTCAGGGCATTAATAAATCATCGGTTGCTGTTCAATCTGACTACATACTACGCTAGCATAGCTCCTTACGCAGTAAGTTCATTCCATCAAGTATACAGTGTTACTAGTTAAGTCGACCAAGATATTTTAGGGTGTTGTAGTTGCCATCATGCTCATAGATTTCACTCTTAAATACCATACCATAAAACTAACCATTTTCAAAAAATTAGACTTTTAAGAAAAAAATTTAAATTGCTAGTGTTTCAGAACTTACATCCTTATTTTTTTAAATCATTTTGTGGCGCTGATATATTGATTTATATATGTCCATTATTAATAAAATTGTATTCAACTTAATAAACTGGGCCGAAATAGGTAGATCGTTGATAGTAGAATAGTTGTAGAGTAGATAGTAGATGAATAGTTCTCTCTCTCTCTTTTTTGTTCAATATCTTGAAATGGTTAGGTTCAGGATATGGTATTTCATAGTGAAATCTATTTGTAAAAATGGCTACTAAATCACCTTCAAGTATCTAGGTCGACTTACTAGTAACCCTAAATATTAGCGAGTAGTAGCTAGTAAGCAAACGTTCTGCCATATAAATTATCAAAGAAATCAAATCGCGATTAAAAAATAGAGGTAGGCGGCTGAAAAATACTTTACGACCTATTCTCATACCTACCAAAAATACCTACTAAAAAAGTCTTTAAAATCGGTCGAGCCATTTCGGAGGACTGCGACTACAAACACCGTGACACGAGATATTTTTATATTAGATTAACTACTAAACTTATAATTTCCTTTTGGAAACTTAAAATAAATTTAATTTAATAGAACCTCACGTTTTTATTAATAATGTTTGAGACAATGACATGTGATTGCAGATGGCACCGATATTTTTTGACTACGAACGTACCCCTGGCGGTCTGAAAAGAGTTTACATGGCAATGGAGATTTTCGAGACATATCTTAATCGTCTGGGAACAACTTATGCAGCCGCAGACCACTTGACAATTGCTGACTTTCCGCTTATCAACAGCACTATGGTCTTGGAAGCTATTGATGTTGATTTCTCGAAATATCCAAAGGTTCGTGTTGCTTACTAGAAAAGTGCTCCAGTAGCATAATCAAAACTGTTCCAAATAAAAATGCAAGACTGTGGCGTATCTACACCGTAGAGAAAACAGCGGCGACCCTGCACTACTGAAATAGTGCGAGTTTCTGCTGTGAAGGACACAAGGAAAAATTACACCCAACAAAAAACTACAACCAATGTATTTCAATACCCGCATCTGTAATGCGGGTATTAAAAGACAATAGTTTTAATTTTTTTAATGGCTTCTGCACAGGTAGCATTCTCTGTATTGTACCCAAGTTGTTGTTGGCTAAGCATATATGCAAATTACAATAATCTTGCGATTATTTTCATTGCAGCACAGTGCATATTCTGTTATTTATATATGATATATACCCATGACATTATGGCAATTTTGTAACAATTTAAGCACACTCATATGTACAGCAAATGCACTGAAGGAACTTACGTATTTCGTTAAAGTCTATGCTAATATTAGGAAGCTGAAAAGTTCGTTATCAAGGAAGGCTCTATAACATCTTGTTATGACTAACAGGGACCGAGCTTTAACGAAAAATGTTTCAAAAACGTGTCAAATTTATTTATTTTGAGACACGCAGACCAAGCTGCACAGGTCAGCTTAAGAGCATCATTTAAAATCTATTTTGCTTCACGTTTTAAAAAAAACATGCCAAAAAAAACCTGCTCGACTTAAAAACCACCATGTATCATCAAAATTCAACAAAATCTGCCTATTGAGTCATCGTCAAGTGACACCACGTGAACTGGTAACTAACTGCTTTTGACTAGCTTAGATTACTAATGTATTGTTTTTGACAATGACAATGAGTGGCTCTTTAAAATTGTATTGGCGCGTGACGTAGGTCAGATTGTAGTGCATTTGTATTATCTACAAGTGTTATACATATTTATATTCTGACCCTCCTTCATCAACAGCCTTTAGTAATCCCAGTGGATTACTAAAGGCTGTTGATTAATTTTAAGACAGGTCAATTAATAAAGTAATAACCAGTCAGTCTGGTTATTACTTTATTAATTGACCTGTCTTAAAATTAATTAATTCCATATTAAATATACTTTCAGATTACTAAATGGTACAATGAATTTAAGAAGATTCATCCGTCGTTATGGAAGATCTCTTCAGATGGAATGAAAGAAATTCAATATTTTGAAGCAAATCGGCCTGATTTATCACATCTGAATCACCCCATTCACCCTGCTAGAAAAGCCAAGACGTAACAAAATCTTTCTAAAAATATACATATATACATTCTGTGTACTAAGTATCGGGAATTTGTCAATAAAACAAGAAATACAAATTATTCATCTAAATTTATTTTATCGCTTTCAAAGTAGGCCCCATCGCTTGCAACATCTCCACCGCTTCACCCAGTCTTCCATACATTTTTCATAGGCTATTTGCGGTATGGCCTTTAGCTCATTCAGCGAATTTTCTTTTATGGCTTCTATCGACTCAAAACGTTTTCCTCGAAGTGGTAATTTTAACTTGGGAAATAAAAAAAAGTCAGACGGAGCCATATCAGGTGAATACGGTGCTTGGTCGAGAACTTTTGTTGAATTTTTCGCTAAAAACTCTTTCACTATAATGGCTGTGTGTGATGGTGCATTATCATGGTGCAGCATCCATGAGTTGTGTTGCCACAAATCTCTACTACTACTCACTCTCACGCAAACGCTTCATGACGCCTAAATAATATTCTTTATTCACTGTTTCTCCCTCTGGAAGGAATTCGGAGTGAACCACACCACGGTAGTCAAAAAAAACTGTCAGCATCACCTTGATTTTGGCGCGACTTTGCCGCGGTTTTTTTGGTTTCGGGTCGTTTTCGAGACGCCATTCTGAAAACTGTTGGCTTGTTTGCATGTCGTACTCATAAACCCATGTCTCGTCGCCAGTTATTATACGTTTCATAAAGGTCGGATCCGTAGAGGCTCGGGAAACCATGTCTTCAGCGACATGCTTTCGCTGCGCTTTTTGAACAAAATTAAGCTCTTTTGGAACTAGTCGAGCGGCGACGCGTTTCATGCCTAAATTGTCAATGAGAATGTTGTGGACGGACTTAAAAGATATGTTCACCTCACTAGCCAACTCTCTCAGACTCATACGTCGATTTTCGAGCACTAGCTTCTTGATTCTGTCGATGTTTTCTTTGGTCGTAGCGGTTGAAGGTCTACCAGGAGGCAAGTCTACTACTACTTCTCGGCCTTCTTTAAAAGCCTTATACCATTCATAAGCCCTTGTTTTCGATATACACGATTCGCCGTAGGTATTTCGCAACATTTTTAGTGATTCACCACAAGAAATATCATTCGAAACACAAAATTTAAGGCACACTCTTTGTTCAACAATATTTTCCATTGTAAAAATCGCCGAGGACTCAAAACTATCACCAACAAAAAGTGTAGTTTAAAATAAATAAAAAAAAACTACGTTTAAAAAAACCGACTTCAAAAACTATAAAGTATTAAATTACTTAATAAAGATTAAATTTAATACATCTCTTGTATGTGCTATCTATTGATAGGTTTCAATTCGGTGCCAAGCCAAATGTAATAGAAGGTGCCTACACTCGTCGCGCGTGACTTTGAGCAGGATAGCTTCGTCTAGAACAAAACAACCCAAGCGGGCAGACGTCGTTGACGGTCGTCTCGAAATATAGTACAATTTTAATGCGTTGTTACCTAATTTTGTTTAGGGCTTGGCACCGACTTCAAACCTATCAATAGGTAGCACATACAAACAATAGTATTTTATTACTATTAAAGGTTTGCATAAGAGATGTATTAAATTTAATCTTTATTAAGTTATTTTATACTTTTTAGTTTTTGAAGTCGGTTTTTTTAAACGTAGTTTTTTTTATTTTTTACTTTTTAGTGTCTGAAATAGGTTGTTCTGTTAACAACAGTAGGATTTTTCTAGATTACATCAGGTAAACTATAACATTTCGTTGCTTTTTTATTGTCATATATCTAAAGGTAATTTTTTTGGTTTTCAAATAGTAAGTAGCTATGGGTACGCCTACGAAAGGTGCAGCGCGCCTTAATCAATATAGATCCCAAGAAACGGGAAGGGAAAAAGGGAATCGACTCCGAAAAAATGCTGTTGGAAACTCTATTTCACGTTCTTGTGAGACAGAGAAGAAATATGGCGGTCTCTGATGGATTAGTCAACGGAGCAATGGGTGTAATAAAAAAAATCAAGTGGCCAGCCCTTCGCCGTGACCAACTAGAAGCAGGAGAACTGCCCGAATCAGTATTGATTAAATTTGATGACGAGACGGTAGGCACTAGGGTAAAAGATGCGGTGGGCCCAGTTTCAATCGCATCAACATCTGCAACTTTTCAGGCCAATAAAGGTTACAGTGATGTCGAGAGATTAATGCTGCCACTAATTTTAAGTTGGGCTGTCACCGTTCACAAGCTCCAAGGTACGACATTGGAGAGGGCGGTGATAAACCTCGGAAAAAAATTATTGCAAAAGGTCAGATATATGTGGCTTTAAGTCGAGTGAAGAATTTAGATGGCGTGGCATTAAGTCATTTGGAACCATCTAAATTATTACACAAACCACATGATGACAAAGCACTACAGGAAATGCTACGATTAAGACAGTTAAATCTAGATTATTCTTTTTACTTATTTTTAAAATTTCCTTTTTATTTATTTCTTCGTTCCGAGATTTTATATGGAATCGTATTGGTATTCGTAATCGTATATAATATTTCTCAATTTCTCTACTCCGCAGGCTCGCTCCGCCTCAATGACAGGTAGCCTAAGACCCACTTATCGGGACACGGGTTAATAGTAATATATAATCAACTTAAATGAAAACTCCTCAAAAGGCCGTACACAAACTTAAATTATATCATCCAAGTAAACAATAATATTCATTAAAATATTAATAAAATGAAAACTACCGGGCCTAACTATGTTAAATTTTTATGGGACCAAATGGCAACTATTCCGCATCAAACTAAAGAAGAATCACGTAAATCGGATCATAAATCTCAGAGTAATCGGTGTACATACATAAAAAAAAATATACCAATCGAATTGAGAACCTCCTCCTTTTTGAAGTCGGTTAATTAAATGACAGATCCCGCTCAAATTTTGCGCGCTTAACCAGTACAGTGCTACCAACATGCAGTAAAAAAATTAGAACGACCTCTTTTACGCGGGTCTTTTTATTGACATATTCCCGATACTTTTTACACAGAGTTGTATATATGTAACATGGACGTACTGCCGCCGGGTACACCAATTTATTGAATATTAAGTTATGATTTAAGTAGGTACATCATTATGTTAATTATTTTATCTTATCCGTTAATTGTTTCCTTTATATTATATATGTAAATTATATTTGCATTACGAATATTTCAGACTTTCATTACTCCAACACATGAAATATGAAGGTTATTTATTTTTATACAGATGCTTTGCGAATTTTAGATTACTCTTATAACAAGATATAGGTAGGGAAGTATATAACAATATAACAGTTACCTCTGTTTTTTTTGAGAATCGGTTCCATAAGTAATGTTCCTTAGGCTTTCTAAAATTAAATTAAATAACATATAAAACTGTATTTGTATTTATTTAAATTTTAATATTATACGTAAAATATTGTTTGTAAAACTAAATGTGTGTAACATTTCCATCAAATTTATATCAAGGAAGGTTAATTCATGCGTCCAGAAAGATGATCTTGTCTTAATTTATCCGAGCATATGGCCGAATTTCATCAAGAACTTTTAAAAATCAAACAAACCATCGGATCCTGGGAAAATAGGCTTTTGTTTTTGAGGTCTGATAGATGACTGTCTATTGTTGCTCAAAAAGCCACCCGCTCCTCCCAATCCTCCAAGTCCTGGTAACTGGTTTTGTGATTGGCTGGACTGTACTGGTAATAATTGTCCTACATTTCCAGCCTGTGTCAATTGGTTCGTTAAACCTTGCGCTACCTTGTCTGGTTTTGCCAATGATCCGGTTATACCTAATAAATTACCTAGTAAGTTCTTGCAGACATCTCCGGTAAGTCTATCCGCCATATTACCCCATAAACCGAGTTGACAGAATCTGAAGACAATTGTAATGAAGGAATTCTTAATACTCGTGCAAAACGATTTCAACTCTACAATGAATTTTTTGTAAAAACTCACCTGAAATCTTTAGAAATGGTCATCTCATTACCAATTTTCAGAAATTGATTATTTTTACCGTCTGGGCTAGACAAAAGAGAATCAAAAAGATTCTTGTTAGCAGCCCCATTCTTTTTTTTGCCAGCCTCATCCTCTACACCATGCGCAAAATTGGCAATCAATCCCACAAAGTTGTCCCTGACGCGGGCATCGGTGCTAGATACTTCACCTCCTACTGGTTTTCCATCCGAATCCAGTGGTTCAAAAATATATGCCAGTTCATCGCCATGGGAAGGTCCTTGTACATTTTGTGGCACTTGCATTGAACTATTTTCAGATTTTTCTGCAAAAAATGCTTTCTCTCAAATTATCATAAATAATTCCGCCCAGTATCTGTGTCTTAACATAATTTAGATTCACTCACTGATAGAAATATAGTCCTCATTTATAATTAAGAATTTTTTGTCACAAGTACCTATTAAATGAAAGAACATCATTTAAAATCTATTTTGCTTAATTTTTTTTAAAATACATTACCTGTTCGACTTAAAAACCACAAAGAAAAAAATTAATTATTCATTAATATCACTTATACAGTTATTCATTTCAATTTAGACTATATCTAGTCATCATCCAGTCTTTTAGAGATAGTTTGTCAGGTATATGAATAAAAACATATTGCTACCTGCTAGAGGAACTCCGGGCAAGAAGTGCCACCCTTTGGAGAGGTTCCCAACGTGCTCGAAGCTGTACAAAAAGGCCTTGCCGCCGGAACTCCATTGCTGGACGCTCTGATAAGCAGGAAGGTTAAATAGTGCATCACCTATAAGAAACATAAGCAGTGATTATATATGACTGTGAATAGTCATGGTTATGTGCGGTTATTTAAATAGTACCACGGTATACATAAAAAAAATTACCTGTGGCTTCTGCTACTTTGGCAAGTCCGTCAGCTATTGTAAATGATTTTTCCAATAAATTATTAGTGTAATAGTCAGCGATGGGCAAGAGCGTTTGAACTTGGGAAGCGAAGGGGATCAGACCACCTACATCTTTTACCACATTTTGAAGACCCCCGACTAAATCTTTCTTTAAAAAGTCCTTCACGTTCTGAATTTGGTTTGTTAAGAATTTATTAAATTTGCCTAAAAGTAAAAGAAAACTAATATTAAAACCTTAAAAGTTAAATTTGTATCTGTCGGTGGTTCGAGGCCACTCAGAAAGTTTTGCGAATATTTTTTTTACATATGAAGATTTTATAAAAATGAGATTATTTACAAATAAAAATACCATCGTTTGAAATTCAAATTTCCCTCCACATTTTTTTAAAGCTAAATTGAATTTTATCGTGTCTTGGGAACTTTTACGTGCGATGATTTTTTTTAGGAAGAAAAAGGAAGTCACACCTTGCCAGACACCGTATGGCTTCTATTTTATTCTCTAAATTAAAAAAATCTGCTGAAAAGGAAAACTGGTTTAGACGCATAAAACTTTGTATAGAGGCTGATGATGGAGAGTACTTTGAAAAGATTCTATAAAAATGTTTTATATATATAAGTTGGTTTTTTAGTATCTCATAACTTTCTGTGGACCCCATGTACATATTTACAACATATTAGAAGTAAATAAAAAAATTGAAACTATTTATATGCTATAATATATAAGGCTCCTGTCACCCCTCTCGCCTAGAATTTTTATAAGTGTACTCAAGAACATTATAAAGAACCTGAATTGGGATACAAAAGGTATCAATATAAAGGCCGAATATCAAAGTAATCTACGATTTGCTGACGACACGAAAACATAGTAAACGAACTCAATGCTGTTAGCATACATCGGCCTAGAATTAAATACCGCAAAAACATGACTAACTTTCAATCGAAGCCTATTAAAGTTAACAACACAGTACTTGAATATGTACAAGAGTACATACATATACTTGGGTATATTCATTTCGTTTACAAACACTTGACACTTGACACTTGAACTAAACAGACAAATAAACATTGCATGGAATACATTTTGGAGCTACATAGAAATACTAATATCAAATCTCTCATATAATTAAAGAAATTGGTTCTGGACTCATGTATATTGCCATGTCTCACCTATGCTTGCCAAACCTGGATATACAATATACAAACGAAAACTAAATTTCAAGTATGTCAAAGGTCAATGGAAAGCAGCATTTTAAGCATAAAAAGAAAAGACAAGAAAATATGTACTTATATAAGAAAAACGACAAATGTTATAGACGCCTTAAAACAATGTAAAAAACAGAAGTGGAAATGGGTTGGCCACATAGCACGTATGAACAAACAAAAATGGACTTAAAAAGTTACTGTTTGAGCTGGACCATCCGGTAAGAGAAATAAAGGAAGACCACAAGAGAGATGGATAGATGAGATAAACAAGGCGGCAGCAGGACTGGTTTACTAAGGCAAAACATAGAGAGTATTGAAGAAAATTGGAGGAGGCCTTTACTCGTTGAGAGGTCCTTAATCAAGAAATATTTAATAAAATAATTTCAATATATTTGTAATAAATTCAATAATCATCTAACAATATCTATACTAATATTATTATTATATACTTATTTTAATTTCAATCACTAAATGTTAAAAAGTATAAAATAATTGTATTTTTTTTTACAAATTGAATAATGTTGTTTTAAGAAAATATTAAGGAAATAAAGAGGCTATAATATACGAGTAGTACTAAAAATAATATATATAATATATATTTGTACCTATATTATTATGTAAACAAGATTCGTCGGCGAGAGGAAGACCGCATCTTCTTGATCATTTATTTGCAGTGCACCAGATGGTAATGTATTTTTCCAATATGTGATACATACTCGCATTGTTAATTAGTAAAACTTTATCCTACCGAACACTGCTCGAGAAGTTTCCGCGGAGGTGACGCCGGTGAGCATAGGGACACGTTTTTGTTTCTTTTTAAGTGACTCAGCAGGTGCATCAGCTACCAGTGGTGGTAAACCTCGTAAATCATCTTCACCTTCTACTCTTGCGCCAGCACCTGCACACACAGACACCGAGATTGTCGTTCATTTTTAATACAGATCAGACTTTAAATTGTTTTAAAACTTTCGAAAGTATTCCAGAATCTTATATCATACATATCACCAATGTGTAATCTTACCTATGTGTTTTGGATCGATACTATCATAATACTTCACCGTTAGGCTTTTTTTTCATGCGGATCCCCGCGGATACTCCCTGCCAGATGACCGGTGGGATGGTTATGTCGGCGTCGAACCGACTGAAAACCGCACGCCGTTTTAGGTCTCAGTAGCCGGGGGCAGGAGCCCCCGTGTAGGAGTTTAACTTTAATCTCTTAATAAAAAAATATTTTTTTCTGATGGTTTTATCTAAATTACCTGATCGCCCTGAAACTTCATCCAAGAATTTCTGAGTGTCCACCATGTCCATATTCATATCGTTGTCTGCCTGTAATAAGAACATTGTATTTTATTTTTATTTTATTTTATCTAAGGAAACATACATTGGAAATCAAAAACATTTTTTTAATTAATTTATTTACAAAACTAAACCTCATTAAATGTAGGCAAACTTAAAACCACTGGAGTTTATGCGGTTTGCTACAACATGCAAAATCTTTTTAGATCATAACAATAAATAAATAAATAACATAAAGCAAATAACAATAATAATACTAACTTATTAGTAATAATATTATTTTTAGGGTAGTATACAAAAATATAATATTGATGAGCGGGCGAACACTTTTATACCCGAACAAACAGGTTTCGAAGGAATCTACAAGTGGTTTACAAAATGTATTTCCAATTTTAGATTTAAATTTACTTTTGTGATATATATACCTCAGCCTATGCTTGTCCACTGCTGGACATAGGCCTCTCCCAATGATTTCCAGCGGGGACGGTTGATTGCGGCCTGCATCCAACGGTTTCCGGCAACCTTTACCAGGTCGTCCGTCCATCGGGTAAGCGGTCGTCCCACACTGCGCTTTTCAGTACGTGGTCTCCATTGGAGACATACTCGTCAACAATTTCGAGGACAGAGTTTCCCCTGACTATGAGAGTCGATATGGACATTCGACATGATTTTTGTCTTGTCCATGTTCATTTTAAGGCCGATCTGTTGAGAAACTCCGTCGAGGTCAGCGAGTATTTGTCCCAGGTCTTCCAGCGATTCTGCCGTGACTACGATGTCATCGGCAAATCGAAGGTGAGTGATGTATTCGCCATTGATGTTGATGCCAAGTTCTTTCCATTCCAGGAGTGTGTATGTGGTCTATGATACTAAAGCCTTTTCGGAAACCGGCTTGTTCGGGAGGCTGGAAGTCATCAAACCGACGTTGGAGACGATTCGTGATGACTCTTGAAAACAGCTTGTAGACATGGCTCAGCAGTGTGATGGGCCTGTAGTTCTTCAATAAGGTATTAACACCCTGCTTGAAGAAAAGTACCACCACACCCCTGTTCCATGACTCTGGCGTGTGTCCCTCGAGCAAGACGGAATTGAAGAGCTTCTGGAGGACCTTGAGTACCGGTTTGCCACCCGCTCTCAGAAGCTCAGATGTGATTCCGTCATCGCCCGGTGCCTTGTAAGTCTTAAGCTGTTTCAGAGCCATCCCAATCTCGTACTGGCTGATGTCCGGGATATCTTCGGTATAATGTCGGGTTAGCCTTGCTCTAGGGTCTTTAGCTGGGCTACTAGCAGGCTTTGCGGTTGAGGTATATAAGTGTCGATAGAACCTCTCTATCTCCGTAAGTACCTCTTGCCTACTCGACGTTACACTCCCCTCTTCTGTCTTCAGCTTCGTCAACTGGCTTTTCCCAATAAACGCCTCTCTTGCAAACACTTTAGAGTCTTTGTTTCGCTCTATCGTCTCCTTAATACTGTTAGTATTAAAGGAGCGGAGATCATGTCGCAGAGAATTCCATATCTGTCTATGGAGCTGCCGATAGGACTTAGCGTCATCGGAGGTTTGGAGAGTCATAGAACGTCGCCCGGCCATGAAGTCCCGGGTATGGTCGGATAGTTTCTGAGGTCTATCTTTTCGGTGGAGTCTGAAGAACTTAGACCCAACCTCATGGATACTTTCTACCAGCCTGCTATTGATATCGTCCACTGATGTGCAGCTATCTAGGCATTCGAAGCGATTTTGCAATTCGAGTTGAAAGCTTTCGGGGTTTTGGATCTGAGCAATTGAAGGTCGGAGCGAGGACTTCATTAGACGGGCGCGTTCAAACTGAATGTCTATATTCAGTGTGCCTCTAACCATTCGGTGATCACTTCCGGTTTTCACCCTATGAATCAGGGATACATAATTGAATATACGCCTTTTGTTGGTCAAAATGAAATCAATCTCATTTTTTGTGGAACCATCGGGACTCATCCAGGTCCATTTCCTGTGAGGCGGCTTCTGGAAATAAGAGTTCATCATAAAGAGTCTCTCTTTTTCCAGGAAATCGGCCAGCCTGTGTCCCCTGAGGTGCCGTTGCCCATAACCAAATTGCCCCACTCTCAACTCATCATCGCTTCTTCGGCCCAGCTTTGCATTGAAGTCTCCCATAACAACGGTGTAGTGTGTAATAGTGCTATGTATGGCCCGACTGATGTCCTCATACATAGCTTCCACTTCATCATCTGGGTATGTCGAGGTCTCATCATCTGGGTGTGTCGAGGTCGGTGCGCTACCTGTATGACCTTCAACGAATATTTCTTAGATATTCTGAGTATAAGGTACGCTACCCTGCTCGACACACTATTGATGGACATCACGTTGCTAATAAGAGACTTCTGGACGATAAACCCGACACCACCTGTGGACTGTTGTTCGCCCTCCCGGTAGTAGAGCAAATTGCCGGCATTCAGGGTAATCGTGTCCTCACCCTCCCTTCGGACTTCTGCTAAACCCACTATATCCCAGCGCAATTTGCTCAGTTCATAATAGGCAGTCAGCGCATGACTGGAGGATAAATCAAGACAAACTGCCACCCATTACTGATAACGGAGTAGTCATTCCCTTCGGTCCCGCTGTTAGGAACCTAGGCCTATTTATCGACTCCAAGCTCAGCTGGCAAAACCTGATCACCAGGGTCAGCCAGGGAGTCACAGGTACGCTACGGGCCTTCCATCAGCTTAAGAATTTCCTTCCTTCCGAGACAAAAGTGATGCTAATACAGATACTTATTTTCCCTATCCTGGATTATGGTGATATATGCTATTCTGACCTGAATGCAGAGCTCCTCAATAAATATGACCGTCTTTTGAATAACCGCATTCGATTCGTCTTTAACCTTAGCAAATACGACCATGTTTCCTCCTCTTGTCACGAATAGAACTGGCTCACGATTTACGGGAACGGAATAGAGGATATATATACTCGTATTCCACCCTCTATTCCGTTCTCAACTCACCTATTTCCCATTCTTATCTGACATCCTCATTCCAATTGCTATGTTCTAATCACAGAAGAACCCTCCGCTCCTCAAACAATCCACTTCTGTTCTGCCCTACTCATACTGCCTCATTTGTCAACTCTTCCTTCCTAATTCAATCTGTCCTTCTCTGGAACGCTTTGCCTCGCGAAATCAGGATAGCACCCAACCGCCTCTCATTGAAGACGAAAGTCCGAGATCGAATTTTCGAAAGTCTAGCCGTTTTATCGCATCCCTAAAGTTTCATATATTGTATTATGACATGTGTTTATATACGTATGTATGTAACTCAGCAAGTTTATATGTATGTGTATCTCAGTATGTATGTATCTGTCACACTGTTTCTGTCCACATCCTTAATTATTATTGTTTCGTTAACACAAAAAACTTAATTTCTACTGTCTGTTATTTTCCCACCACCCAAAGGTAGACTGGGAGAAAATGCCTGTGACCATTCTACAATGAATTGTTATTTGCGCAAAAAGAATTAAATAAATAAATTATTTAGTAGGCAGGGAATAATAATCTTGATGGTTCTTCCACCGTAAACATTTACTGCACGGTCGGTTTTTTGACGAGTTTGAATATTATGGGATTTTTCGCTCTGTAGGTACGCTATTCGCTCTGTAGAGCTATTAAAAAACTGACTTTGAATCTTCTTTCCCTAAAATCTAATTCACTTTAAACTTTTATTTAAACCGTATTATTTATGTTTACAACGGCTTAAAAGTGTTGCATACTAAAAAAAAGTAGTGGAAAAGTGCTAAAAAAAACACACACAAATAATACTCTCACTTACAAAGCATTTTGTAAATTTGTAATCCCTACTAAAGTCTGTAATACCTACGCAATATAATTATTTTTATTTTCTTTACAAACATATGTCTTTTTTAAGACAAAATATATGTCTAAAAATAAATTGAAATGAAGAATAGTAAACGGCCCATGGGTATTTTTTTTTCTTACTCTAACATCGCTTGACAAATTGACATAGTTATGCAAACAAGAACCAACCCACTACTCGAATCAAATTGAGTTACGTATATGGGTATACTCCCAAGCATGTTTTACACCTTCTTAGAAAAGACCCTGGTTCATTTATCAAGCAAAAACATAATAAAATTGACCCCGCTTATGGTACCAACTACAAAAAGATTCACTTTATAAAAGCTAAAAGACTCATGTCACATGGTACCTACAGATCTTTATACGCAAAATTTAACCAAGCCACATGATTCTGTTTAAAAAATAAAAATACCTTTTTTTTGTGCTAAAAGGAACCATGTTCCTCCGCTAAGCACCTTGATTAATCCCCCTTCGTCCCCTTTGTGTCCAATGTCACCGGAGACAACAAATCTATTTTATATTTTAACGGAAGCCTTAGAACTTTACCACATTGACAGAAGTGTATGAAATGTCAGGTGATCCGAATGAACTTCAATCCTCTGCCCATTCTTGCCAAACCCCGCAAGTTAACACTTCTGAAACCGCTAGATTATCGAGCTGTATTCCAAACAAACGAAGATAAAGAAAATATTGGCAACATACTCGAGAAGAAAGAAAGGAGAGGAAATACCAAAATTTGAACTATGTTAACTCTAAGAAACACTGAACCAAAACAATTTTTAGATTTAAACTCTTTTAGATCAAAACTCCAAGAAAATGACAAGAGAATATTTCGTGAGAATAGATTAGTGGAATTCCAAAAAAAATATGCTTTAGTCTCATATGAAGCACAATATATGTTTATTGCAGCTTGTGTCAAGGAAATATCAGTAAAACGTTCTTACGTTCCTCTTAGTACCGGTAATTCAAAGAAGACATTTACTAGGAAATATCATGAAAATAATGTACTTGTTTGTCAAAAAATGTTTTTAAACACTCTTCAGACGACCCCCAAAAGAGTAAATATCCCTGTGAAAAACAAGATAATTGCATAAAAGTAGTGATGTGCCGGATCGTTAACAAAGTATATCCGCGGATACGGATCCGAATACGGATCTTAAGTTTCTTACTCAA